CAGAGAGTTAAGTTACAAGAGAAATTCTGAGGCCTTAGACACACAACTTTTGAGCTCACATGGCATTACTACTTATCTTGATCATCTAATTTGTCTGCCTTGACTCAGACTGACATTTTAGTTGTTTCTAAATTTTAAGGTACCGTAGAAAGGTACATTTGTCTTTAATGAGGCTATTCATCTAAAACATAGATCACATTATGAACCTTTAATTAACCTTAAAGATGTCAACAGGACTAACAAGGTATCCTTACAGACATCTGTGTTCATCTGAACAATGACTCTATTAAGAAATAATGTACCCTAAAGAAATAGTCCTTGGTTTTAAAACAACAGGAAGAAGTCTGGTTATATAGCTCACTGACAGAGCATCTGTCTAGCATGAAAAGGAGCATCAGTTCAACATAAAACACAGCATAAATTGAATGTAGAAACATATGCCTGTAATCCCAGCATTCAGAGGAGTGGAGGCAGGAGGATTAGAGTTTCAGGATATCCTCAGATATACATCAAGTTCTAGGTCAGTCTTGCATAAATGACATTTTGTCTGTCACATTAATAAATAAACAAGTAAACATATGCATGTGTACATGCACACGCACACACACACACACACACACACACACCCCTAGAGTGTTGGTAAGTGTCTGTGGTAAGGACTACCTGAAAGACTGAGGAAGAAGGATGGCAAATTAGAGACCAGCAACATAGGAGCCTGTGATAGTTTAAATGAGAACGGTCCCCACAGGTTCATATGTTTAAATACTTGGTCCCCAGTTGGTGAACTATTTGGGAAGGATTAGGAGGTGTGGCCTTGTTATAGGAGTTGTGTCACTGGGGGTGGACTTTGAGGAGGCGCGTGCGCTCGCTCTCGCTCTCTCTCTCTCTCTCTCTCTCTCTCTCTCTCTCTCTCTCTCTTCCATCTATCTCTGATACTCATTTTGGTATCATGAATATATTGCCTAAGAAACAAAACTCATAGTTATTCAGCAGGTTAACTATAGCCAAAGCATGAGCCCTACATATTTACATCTGCATAACAATAAAATCCACCCAAGGAACTTTGTATGTGGGCTCCTAGCCTTACAACCACTATGGCTGATAAGGCAGGGAGGTAGAACTACAAACACTGTCCTCCAACACAGTAATGTACTTGTTCTGCCTTATTTGCATCTTTTCCTAAGCATGTCAAGTCTCCCTTTGATGGTCTCTGTATTTTATATTTATTTATTAAGTCATGTAACATATATAACTTTTGTGAGGAAGACTAAGATTTTTGATTTGTGAGTGTGTGTGGAGTACATGTGTCTACGAGTATGTGCATGCATATGAGTACAGGTGACTGTGTGGGTGCATGTGCACATATGTGTGGAGACCTGAAGTTGATTTGGGGTGTTTGCTTCAATCATTCGCCATCTTATATATTGAAACATTGCCTCTCAAGTGAACTCAAATCGCTAGCTAGCTTGATCTAGGGATTTTTGTCTCCACCTCCTAAGGACTGACATGAAAGGAGGGCCGCCATGCCCACTTGACCTTTACATGGGTCCTAGGGATCTGAACTCTAGTGCTCAGCTCAGTAAATGCTTGACTGGAAAAGCTACCCACCCACCCACCCCATGCCCATCAATGAACTGTTTGCCACATAACCCGAGGTAGTTTGCCTAGTGGTATTAATGGAGACTCCCATTGAGTCTCCAATATGAATTAGACCCTTATCTAACTCTAAACACATTATTTATTGGGCAGTTACCATTTTCCCTTTTGAAACATTGTGTGCTTTGCTTATTGTATGGTTATCTCCACACTAATGTATTCTTTATATCCTCTGACATATTAGAATACCTGCTACCTATAATCTTCCTTAAATATCACATTCAATCTTACAGATTTACATACTATCTTCAGTCTAATTTTTATATCTGGTGCTAACCTCTGATATAAGGTTCAAACAAATTAAAAAGAAGCCTTATTTCTAACTCAAAACCAAATCATCTCCAGTCATTTCTGTGGTCTCTACTTCTACTTCTCTAATCTACCCTTCCCCTAGCCAGCAAAAGTGATCCTTCCAAAGCATAATCCAAACAATCTGAAACCTATCACTGCAGCTTGCTCACTCAGTTCTACTTTACTAACTTCTGTACCATTATACAAACACCCCAAACACGTTTTTATTTCAAGATCTTTACACACTCTGTTTCCTAGGCTTATGGTATTCTTTTAAACCTAAATAATCTCGGGGCTTTCTCTTTCACTTCCCTTAGGTCACTACTCCAACCACCCAATCTGGGAGGACTCTTCTTATCACCTATTAGAAATGCAAACTTCTATCAACCTATCCAACCACTCCCACTCATAGCATTTCCTATACTTGTTGAGTTTTATTTTTCTCTGAAATCTAGATCAAAATCTGATACTTATTGGCTTATCAATTTACTATTCATTTCTCTAGACAGTAAGTTCTAAAAGGTCAGCAATTTGAATGTTTACTTTATTCTACATGATGCCTAAAAATTACAGAGCATTAAGTACACAGGAGCTACTAAACAAATTACTGAAATAAGAAACATAGCAACAGGAGATATTCCCACGGTGAGCCTCAACTCCAGCACTCCATATGAGGGCAACAGGAATTATGTGAGTGGAGGGCTGTGATCCCAGAAAGACGGGGAAGGACAAAGCCCCAGAAATACTGCTTTGTGGTAGTCGTGGCTCTGACACAAAAACAGACAGATAGACAAAAACAGAAACAACCAATGAGGAAAAAGCTTCGACACAAAGCAACCAAGAAGATACTCCCTGAACCAAACAATATAATAATATTGTCAGTCACTACAGAAGTATTATTTTCTTCCTAGTATGATTCATTGAAAAAGAAAAAAAAAACTTGCACACATTTCTACACAAAGCAGAAAACCTTAATTAACAGGGAAAAACACATTTAAAAACCTAGTATTAGGGGCTGGAGAGAGAATGCAGAAGCTAAAAGGACTAGCTGCTTTTCCAGAGGACCAGGTTTAATTCCCAGCACGCATAAGGCGGCTCACAATTGTCTGTAACTCTAGTTCCAGGGGATCTGACACCCTCACACAGACGTACATACAGGCAAAACACCAATGAACATAAAATAAATACATAAATCTTTAAAAAAAACAAAACCCCTAGTATTAAACTGCACTATGAGTTCCAGGTCAGCCTGGTCTATAACCTATAACAAGAGTTCCAGGACAGCCAGGGCTACAAAGAGAAACCCTGTCTCAAAAAAAAAAAAGACACTGTTCTAAAGCAAACTGATCTACGGTCTTCAAAGTGTCCCTGGTACAAGACACAAAGACTCCAGAACTGTTGTGGATTAAAGGTGACCAAACAGGCATGACAACTGAACATAATACACGGACTTGAGTTTTACTGTACTATAAAATACAGCATTAAGATAACTGAGGAAATCTGAATAAGTTTGAAAAAACAAAGAAGTTTCCAAAAGTATAATACAGAATATTAAAGTGGTTCCTATTTTATATTTCAAAAGATCTCTATAAATTCACTTTTCAAATTAAAAAAATGGTGTGGTTGTACATGGCTGCAATCCCAGAACTAAGGAGGCTGAGCGGAACCATAGTTTATACCAACAGCCTGTGCTATAGCAAGATCATGTCTTAGAAATAAATAATCAAATTCAAATGTAGAAAGTATAATTGTAAAAATACGTATAATGTTGAAAGGATTTAAATGTAACTTTTAAATAATACCTTCTATTGGCTAACTGGATTTTTTTTCCTAATTCTCTACACTATTTAAGAACTAAAAGTAACAAGGTATAGAGCACACTCCATGATCCCTGCTACTCGGGAGGCTGAGAGCAAGAGGACAAGTTACAGTCAGCCTGGCCACACTGTGTGAAACTGTTTTAAAAAGGGGAAAACTAAGAGGAAGTAATATAATAAAGAAAAATATAACGCCTCTAAAAATACTGTTCTTCCAGAAAATATTTTAATAAGTAAATGGATATTTTACACTAAGAGAATCTGAACAGTAATGCCCATTAGGCAGACTGTGGAGTTCTAAGTCTGTAATCCTAGTACTTAGGAGGGAATGCAGGAAGCTCAGCTCAAGGTCATCCTCTCTACTGTGTGGCACGCTCAGTGTCAGCCTGGGCTACATAAGATCCTGATTCAAACACACACACAAACACAAAATAAAATGGGGGTGATGACTCTGTGGTCAAATATTTGCTGGGCTTTGTGGTGCACGTCTGTAATGCCACCACTGATGGGCAAAGAGAGAAGGGTCTCTGGGACTCAATGGCCGGACAGTTGGTAGAAGAAGCAAATATCAGGTTCAGTGAGAGACCCTTTCTCAAAACCTACGGTGGAAAGTGGTAGAGAAGACATCCAACATCAACCTCTGTCTTCCACACGCAACAAGAAGCAAACAAGCGCGCCAAGTGCATATGTGCATGCACACACACACACACAAAATGCATATACTACATACACACACACACAAGTGCATATACCACATATACACACACACACACAAAAGTGCATATACCACATACACACACACACACACACACACACACACACACACACACACACACACAAGTGCATATACCACATATACACACAAAAATAAAAACCGTATTTCAAGGACTCAATATAAATTATTTTTTTAAAAAAGATTTATTTTTTTATTATGTATACAGTATTCTGCCTGCATGTACACCTGCAGGACAGAAGAGGGCACCAGACCTCATTATAAGTGGTTGTGAGTCACCATGTGGTTGCTGGGAATTGAACTCAGGACCTCTGGAAAAGCAGTCAGTGCTCTTAACCATTGAGCCATCTCTCCAGTCCCTTAAATTATTTTCAATTTAACCATCACATCATATACTAGTGTAGTAAAACCTTATACGAGTACAAATGGAAAAAAAAGTTTAAATTTCCTTTAAACAAGATGTCAACCAGCCATTTCTAACAGAAGAAAAACAGTAAAATTACCTTCATGAACTGTAATGCCACAATTGTCACACTGAATTATTTCATCTGCATCTTCACTATTATCTCCAAGACAAACACAGCAAATCAGAATGTGGTCCATTTTTTGTGAACTCCAGTTTTGACTCTTCTCAAGAATCAGCGAGTCCTAATGTTAAAATACATCAGAAAAATCACATTTTAATTAAAAAGTAATTTAATACTCAATTCTCATTTTTTAAAAATACTGTTTAGTGTACTTCAAAGTTATGTGGCATTCTATTAGTAACCTCAAGGTCTGCTCCACCTCTGTCAAAGGACATCTTCTTTGTCACTTCTGTCCAAGTGCCATGGGCTCTCCCCTCTACAAGTGAGAAGGCACAAGTATGCAAATAGCTGCCTGCTTTGGCATTTGACTTTGACCCTGAAACTAGGGGAAAACGAACAACTGATCATCTAGGAATTACCAATCCTACATACAGATTTTCAAAGTATCGAGATGTGATTCCTATACTTTGAGTAAAGTTACTACCAGGAAAGACAAGACACATATACAAAACAGGAGGGAGTAAGTTAAAGATAACATACAAGCAAGTGTGCATATGATATCTGAGAGACTCTAGACTCCAAAGTGTAAAAGGTCCAGGGTTACCCAGCTACTCAGAAAGAACCTGAACACATAATCTGCATATATAGCTATAATAAAAAAATTTAATGATTCAAGTTGAATAGTTGCTAGGAAAATAACAGTATTCCTTACATTTATGTCAAGAAAGATCTAGTGCTAACTGGTAATAAAGATAGCCAGCTACTATCAACATAAAAGAGGAATGCTTTAATAGTAGACGAGTGTAAGATAAAATTTCAAGAAAAGGAAGCCTGTCCATTTTAATTTAAACCTTGTGCATTTTGGATGTAAACTTTAATTTAAAAAAAGATGATTCATTCTGGCACAGTGGCATACTTCTATAGCTCCAGCTACATGAGAGGATGAAGCAGGAGGACAACTTGAGCCTAGGAAGTATACACCAGTCCGAGTAAAATAGTAAAGCCTCAAAAAACAAAACAAAAAGTCTTGCTATGTTAATAAAGAACAGTTAACATTACAAGGTAACATGTTGGTATATTTTCATTTATAAACCTAACCAAGGTCAAAACAAAATTGTTAAGTTAGTTCCATACCACGGTCACTAAATATATTTAATTTCATTAATACTTTGCTGTTTCATATCCCTTTAAATTCTATCAATACTCTCAATGGTAACATTTGGAATCATCATTTCAATGCAAATTGTAAATGACATTTAAAAATTTTTTTTTATGGGGAAGGGCTTTTAGAGACAAGATCTCATGTAACCCAAGATGCCTTTGAACTTCTTATCCTCCTACTTCTCATTGGCTCTGATTACAGGTATATGCCACAACACCCACTGAAAAATCCTTACAGGTTGCAATAAATAATCCTTTCAATACACTTTATGGATAACATCTAAAATTACAACTGTAAAACAAATCAGGAAAAAAATGGCCACCAAGCAAGTTGAGACTATCCTGTAACGAAAACTCGTGTGTTTTATAGTACCTTGGTAGTTAATGAACATCATGGGTTTCATTCTCAGCTTTCACTTAACAGCTGTTGAACATACAATGTTCCCATTTGTAAAATGAGAATGTCAGAAATAAAATGGAACAGAAAGGTTGTTGTAAAAATTAATGAAGTAATAAAGGTCATCAATGTTGCAATGTCCAAGTCCTTCTTCCTCTCCTCTACACTTCCTGTAGATGGCTCAAAAGAGAAACACAGACTGACATCTAATAATGAGGCGATGGATGGGTTGTGTTCTGTAGAACCAAGTTATAAGCCTAATTGAGCACTGATAATTCACCCCCATGGTAAGGCCAAATGTTTTCTCATAGATTATTACTTCTAAGTTGTTTTTGTTTTTTGTTTTAAATATCACAGACTAGAAAATGACCGAGTGAAGCAGAGTCTGGTAAATAATAGGCTACCTGTGTTAACAGACTGTCAACATTTCTTTGAAAGAATTACTTCTAACCCTCAGAAAATGGCTTATTAATACAGAAAATAAGTGAATTTCTATGAGTAAAACTGTGAATGAATAAAAAGTGAATTTCTTGAAGTAGAAACTGAATCAACGGAAGATCTAATTCCTCTATTTTCTGATTTTGTTCAGAAAAAGTGTCTGTCTAAGCTGTCTCTCTAAGCCAATTTCTCTCTACATGTACTATTTTCTAATACAGGAAAATGAGAAAGAAACAGTGACTGCTGTTTCTGGCCTTCTGAGCCCAATGAGATGCTTGTTCAAGCTCTAATGCAAAGGAAGGCGGAACAACAGCCCTACAGTGTTCCCATAAACAAACACCTGGCCCTAAGGGTTCAGTGGGAAAATCTAAACCAAACTTTTGAAAACATTCTAGCTGTTTTAGTAGAGCAAACATACATTAATGTTTAAGTATGCTTTAAGTACGCATATGATCAAAATAATAGAGTCCAGTTTCCTATGAACTTGTTACCATGTTTCTGAAGAGGTGTATCCTCTTTCAAAGAATAGGCTAAAATCTAACAAAAAATTTAATACAGCTTTACACAAAAATAGAAATCAGGAAAGTAAGTAACAGATGGCAAAACAAAACTCATCTAGAAATAAGAAAAAAAGGGGCATTACAGTAATATTTCAACGATTATTTCGTTCTTCTCCTTGGAATGTGAAGTTAATCCTAAAGAATTTAAGGACAGTGAGAATACACAGGGCAATGGATTTACATGTAAAAGCTAAGCAGAAGGTACTAACTGGGAAAAGAAAGTGACACAGGTAGAGAGAGGAGAGGAACCAGGCAGAACAGAAAGGGAAGCAACTGAGAACTAAGTATAGTGGTATGTACGCATGATGATGCTGGGTCAAATCCCAATGCTTTCTACGCCCATCTAAAACAAATAAAAACACTAGCCTAAAAAGGAGGTACTGCCTAGTATTCTTTCTGCATTCTAAAACATAGTTAGTGTTCACTTGCCATGTATTCTACAAGATGATTATAAAATACATACAAATGGACCAAACTGTACCTGTTGTATTTAGACTTAACAGAAAAAATTCCAATATACTTTACATTGAAATAGTATTAAAAGACAAGGAAAAAATAGTATACCAAAAGTGTGATCCATATTTCTTCATCAATGCTTTCCTTTAAAGACTCTCAAATATTTGTAAAATATTACAAAACGTGTTTTAATAGGACTTACAGCAATTTTTTTCTTCAAAATGTGCAGAGATAACTAATTAGTAAGTCAAGCATCCCAAACAGATACATATATCTTCAGAAGTATGCTAACAAGAACTGATAATAAACTTTAGTTTTATATTCATTTGATCCTAAGTGTGCTTGGATTACTTGCTGTATGTAATTACTTGTAATTACTTGAATTACACTTGCTCTATGAAAACACAAATCATGTTCTCAAGAGAAAGGGTTAATATTTTCCCATTGAATGTATTTATAAATTCTGCCAAAACCTTTTACATAATAATTGCAAACATTGGATGACACTTGTCATTAAACATAAAAGAGCCTTGTATGACAAAAAAATTATTTTACTGAGCCAAAAATATAAGGTTGTGCTTATCAAAACAATAATCCAAACACTAAACTATTCTACGGACCCTCAATGAGAAAGAAGCTTTTGGTCCTTAATAAAGCAAGACTGCCATTTCTGTTGAGAATTTCTACAATGCATAAATTTTCATCTACTCTAGGTTCAAAATGAAAACCATTTTCTGAAAATGTTATACTGATCTTCTTTAAAAAACTTAGGTCAGAAGATCAATGGGAGGGTAAAATGCCATTAGTGACATTCAAAAGTTTCAAAATAAAGGACTGAAAAGGACATAGCCAAACCTTAGGGCATTATCCAAACTGTACTAATTTCAAAAATGCAAATGTGAAAGCCCACGGAGAAAAACAGGCATCAAAGTGCAGAAAATGCAACTCAAGTGCTCTGCTCGAAAGCAGCAAAGGTGTGTTCCAGGAAGCTCTCTTGAAGGAAGTGCAACAGGTAAAGACTATTCTCATGATGCTATTAATAGACTACCTGCTTTTTTTGCTCTTCTCGTGACTGGGTGACATGTTCAAGAGCTACATAAGGGCAGTGTTACCAATCTGACAACTTGCCTGCTTCAGTATCTATTTTGTGTGTTTTTTTGTTGTTGTTTTTTGATTTTTAACAATTCCTAAAATTTAATTTGAAATTGTAAATGTCAATAGACACAGTCAATCTAAATGATACACGTTTTCAATGATTTTTTTAAGATAAAGGGATCCTAAAACCAAAATGTTTTAGAAGCACTCCTCTATATGCCTGAGGCTTGTTGAATCAAAACAGTGAGTTATAAAAGGGCCCTGGTCAAAAAATGTAAATTCCTCTAAGAAATTTCAAAATTGCTAAGGTTTCAGAGCATCATTTAATTATAGACAACCCACATCATTTCTCTGCAAATCCACTTGACATTGCAAGAAAAGGCTTCCAGCTAAAAACTAAATATGTTATTCTTGTTTGTATTTCTAAAGCCACACTTTCTGCTGTTTCTACTACAAAGGGGAATCTTAACACTTAAAGGCAAAATGGAAAAAAAAAACCTAAAATACATACTTCTTAACCATAGGAATATTTAGTATTTATTATTACCCAAGGTAGATAACTAATAAGACTGACAGAAACATTACCCATAAGGCAGCAAGAATAAACTTCAAGTATCTTTCTATAAATACTGGATCATATAAATAGAAAATTTAGACTGGTAAATAATATTCTATACTGATTAATTTGTTAACTAAAATTGAATGTCTAGCTTAGTTTAACCTAATTTAAATATAATTAAAATCATCAAAAATTTTAAGGAATTAAAATAGTTGTGAGGGGAAAAAAAACTGTAACCAAGCATCTAAGCAGGAGGCTATTCTCAGAGAGATTAGCTTTCTACATGTTATTCTATACAGGTTATTTTCCTGAGAAATATTTTGGGATCTCATCCCAGAAATATCTTGGGGCACTTAAATACAGGGCCCATTACTTACCAGAACTTTTCATTTTTTCACCACATGTGATCTTGAAATGTATTGTAAAACTTAGTCTATTAAGCACTGTTATCAAGTAGAGCTTATTAAAGGATAACAAATACATTTCTATACATATACAAGTGTCCCTACACATTGGTATGAATCTTTTCCATAGGTCCTGTATCATTAATTACTTTTGTGAATATTAACCTAACAAACATGAAACATGAAGAGATGTTATCAAGAAGTAAGCTCAATCAATAGATATAGAATAAGTGCTAAATGCTATAAAAATAAACTGAGCAAATAAATGCTCAATCTAAAGATGAACAGATATCTATAAATATGCCAAGATGGCATTAGCAATATGAATGCCCAATCTAAATATTAACAGATATCCATAAATATGCCAAGATGGCTTTGGCAATATGAATGCTCAATATAAATATTAACAAATATCCATAAATATGCCAAGATGGCACTGGCAATATGGAAGAGCTTATGCCACAACCTTAAAAAGTATCACACTATCTCCTCAATTGAGTTTTCCTTTACCAACAGATAAGAATTAACATAGCATTGGAAGAAGGCAACATTCTTCATAGGAATGAGGGCAACCTAGAAATTAATCAGTGTTTATAATGCAAATAATAAGCTGTTATTTCATCTCTGCTGACATGGAATCCCTGACAGTTTGCTATATATTATTTAAGAGGAAAAGAACCAAAAAAATTATAATAAGCCTATTTAAAATGGACAAACACTACTCTGTAAATCTGTAAGCAGAAAAACATGAAAAAATAAAGCATAAAGAAAATCCACTAGTTTAAGCTACTTCAATGATATGAAAAACAAAAAAAAATGGTGAAGAAAATTCTGTTGACATAAACACAGTAACAAAAATGACAGAATTAATACAGTTCTACATGTGATGCAACAGATACATCTACATGTAAGACACCAACTCAATCTTTCTTTTGGAAGGAAAACACGTAGGCACACAGACAGAGACACGGATATATTTAACTGAAGTCTTGAACGTTGCACCTCTGGACCAATGGGTCAACCTAACTCGCAGTAGAACTTCAATGGCAGGACTGAGTCATTACTGTTGCTTCAGGATAGAAACGCTTGTTCTATGGGGGAAAATGTTTGCTTTTATTCTTACTTCTTTTTTTTTTTTTTTTTTTAATTTTCCGGAGCTGAGGACCGAACCCAGGGCCTTGTGCTTGCTAGGCAAGCGCTCTACCACTGAGTTAAATCCCCAACCCCTTATTCTTACTTCTTTGCAGAGAATTTGTTCATTAAACATGTTTTAAAAAGTACATTTTACTTTCACACAAATAAAGCAAATAATTGGTGACTATGCTGATGAAGATTGGTGACTAGGCTGATGACTGCTACAGCTGATGACTTAACCTTTAAATGACTCTCTACAAGTCAAAAAATGAGCTATTGTTCTCTTCTAAAGTATTCAAAAGCTTTTTGTTTTTATGTGGCTATGGACAAAATTATATTGAAGGAAGCCTCTACTATCATAATCCACTCAGTGCCAAGTTAGCATCTATGAACAGAAAGAGGATAAAAATGGGAATAGAGAACTATCATTTCCCAAGTCTATAGATAAAAAAAATGTTACTCTACATACTCTTCTCCTTGGAGACAGAGACTACAAACTCCTGGAGAATGTTGACAAATGGTGAGTAATTAAAAGTCTGTTGACCAAATGAGTAAATGTTGCATTGAGGGTGTTCATTCACCCCTACAACTAAATAAAAATTCAAGAAGTCACTTAAAATATATAGTAAGTAGTGATTTAGAAATTTCCCTTTTCCCCAGACAGACAGATATCATAAAAATTGGGTTGATCTACCTCATTACTCTTGCTTTGAGAAAGGGTCAGGCTATCATTGGTCAGTTCCTCATCATCAGCACTGTTTCTGCTAAGAACTTTACTCTTCTTCTTCTTCTTGCAGCCCACTTCGCTAGCAGGGCTGCTATGGTCTTCGTCATTACCCTCATCATTCTCATCTTCATCACTCCCACTTCCCTCATCTTCATCGTCCTCATTGTCTCCATCACTGCCCTCCTTCTGAGATGCCGATCTCCCCTTTCTCTTTACTACAGTCGGTCTCCAATCATTGTCGTCCTCGCTGTCATAATCGTCCATATCATTCAGCTCTTCCATGGATACAAAGTCCAAAAGGGGCCGGTTCCGACGAAGATTCCATTTCTTGGGCTCACTGACCTGCTCCTCGGTGGTGGTGGTTGTGGTAGGGACAGAAGGAGAGGTAACAGCAGGACTTGTGGCTGGTGTGCTGGCAGCAGCAGAAGCAGCTGCACTATCAGACACTGTTGCCTTTTCTTTGTCCTTCTCTCTCTCCTTGTCTTTCTCTTTTTCTTTCTCCTTTTTCTTTCTAGGTCTTTCTCCATTTTCTTCTTCTTCCTTCTTTTCCATTTTGATTAACTGTTTGTCTGAGGGCACTATTTCTTCCTCTGTAGAATTTTTAAGCTGTTCTTCTTTTGCTTTAATATCTTCATTCAGTTCTTCTTCTAAAATGTTTTCCTCAGAATCACTACAGGAGCCTTCTCCACTGTCCTTTGAAGGGTCTTCACTTCCATTACCACTCCCTTCAGAATCTGTTGAAAATATGAGAAAAAAAAAACCACACATATGTATATACATACACACACACACACAACACTGACACAAATGAAACCACCAAAACTTGTGAATAACTTGCAAAACAATATAAACAAATCTAAGGCAAAGGATGGGAGACATTCCCAAACTCATTAAATAATAAGTCAACACAGTTGATATATGATTTAATCCAATATGAATTAATGAAGATGACATATGAAATATGAGTTAGAATATACTGTAAAATAGAACTATTTTATATTACATAGCTAATAACAGTATAATGTCCTAGTGATAATTTTATTTTCTAAAAGTAGTTTTAATGGGCACTTAATCATAATGTAATTTGATTAAATTATTCTTCCTTTATATCCTTCTTTCATAAAATATGTATACTCAAACTAATGAATTATATCTCAAGCAAGAAAAATAAATTTAGCCCTCTAAATCTGCCTGATTTATTAAACTTTTTTTCAATCAAAACAAGCATAGGCATTTGATAGTGAACTTGTAGCAGACAATGTTATATCAAGTACAAAGGTGAAAATGGACAATACCAATGGCACATAAGAAAATGGAAGATGAAAGAAAATTTCAGTCTTCCTGCCTAATAGAATTCTGTCCACATCAATAAATGTGTCATGTAAACTTGCATAAGTTCTAACTACTAAGTGACCTACAATGGAAGATGCTGATGAAGAAATGAATCCATCCTAAGATGATCAGCTACCTGCTCCTGAACAAACTGGCTATGGTTATTGAGTAGATCATGCAAGCTTACAATTAGCAAGCTGCTTCCATTCCCACCTGGGGCACCAGAGTTTGTCTCAACCCAGCGCTATTCTCTATTCTAATCCTGTCTGCACACAAGTCAAAATTAAAATTGTAAATATTTGGACAGGAGGATAAAGGGAAACGGAGAAAGAAGAAAAAGAGAAGAATATTTATACCAATTGTTAAATCTATAGGAAAATAAATTGTCTGCATCTATAATCAAGAAAATAGAAATGCTAAAATAGTGTAAAGCATTACTGCTTCCATACAATTTTAATTTCTATGAATTCAACTTTCCTTCACCTTTAAAATGAACTGGGAATTGAAGGGGCAAAAGTTAGTATAGCCAAGTCAACTCAGAAGCCCCCATATACATGGCTAATAACAAAACTATCCTGTCTGTTAGTTAACTCATGTAAGAGATAAAAATAACAGATTTTGAATGACCCAATTCACTATCAATCTCAAGACTGTCAGCTTATTCAGTAGTGTTCTGAAGAAAACAAAAGCAAATACCACCCTTATTCTAAACAACCTTACATGGGGCAAACATGGACTATCATCCAAGCTAACACTTCTTTAGGTTTAGGACGTCTGGAGGAGATGTGTGTGCTGAAATTTAGAAATGTTCATATTTTATGAGAGTAATTTGGGATATGCATATATTACATTAATACCACATTAATGCCTAAGGTGCTATTTCAAATATAATAGTTCAACAGTATAAAGTACAAATATTAACAGTGCGTGAGAAATGACATAAATTCACTGTCAGTTTTAGACAGGTTTTGCTGTAAAACGAGAGTTTCTGCCAAACTTAAGAAATTCTTACAGATTTCTGAGCCTTTTGGATTTAAAGAGCATGGACTTAATATCATTCCCAAGCAGTTGAAGAGTTCTATAAATCATTAAGAAAGTTTGGATTTTTACACCACTCACAACAATTAAACCTAACCTACAAAGAAAAACCAATCTTAGCTAAAAATCAATAATAATTTCTGCAATTTTTAAAATAGTGGTCTTCTAAGAAATAAGCAGAATTCACTACTTAAAAGGCAGAAAAGGATCTCTTGTGCACATTAACTGAAGTAAATTTTGACACCTTACATGTAACACCATAATCAAGAAACTAAAAGGTTGAGATAGAAAGGAAAGATCCTTCTCTTCTCCATCAGTCTCTAGAAGACACTTTAACAAGAACCTAATAGAAGATACATAACTAAAGTTCCTAGTACAGTATGGCTCCCAATGAGAATAAACTTCGTAATACTTCGTAAACTTTACAAATGTCGTGGACTTTGTCATTTTATTTTCAAATGTAGAGGTAAACAAATGATCTTTGATGTTTTGTTTTATAATCATGTCTGAGCACAGTGCAATCTTAAGATTCAATTGTTTTATATTTGTCAATATATTATTACAAGAACATGACATTTTTCTTCAAATTCAAATACTAGTAGCTTGTCCAACTTTTTAGTCACCAAATATAACATCTTAGTCATAGTCTAACAATAGGGCCAGGATCCCTGGAAAATAACTTTTTCATCTGATTAGCCATCACTTCTTTTTGGTACATATTCATTTGAGGAACAGAGATTTATTCATAAGCATAGATGAAAAATAACAACAATGAGAAAACGAGGTCCACAGCTGGCTGTATTTTTAAAGGCTGCAAAAGAAAAACATTTCTATTACCACCATATCAAAGAACAACTATAGCCCACGTTGCCTTCCAAATCTATCATTCCACATAGAAGAGAGGAAAGGACAGAGGAAAGAGGCAAAGAGGGAAAGAAAATTAGCAGTGTGAAGTAATTAGCCAGATATTGCAAATAAAGCTATCTTACAAAAAAGGACAGAGTTAATTAATCCCCACATGAACTCTTCTTTACATTTAAAAGTGACTTTAAAATTAAAATCCTATTCTTCATTTAGTTACAGAATTAAAGAGAAAAAAACTTCAAAACACACAGTATATCAGGATCTTTCAAAGCAACAGTCATTTTAACTTTAAGGAAATTTTTTAGTCACAGAATTAAAAACAAACCTTGAAAAAATCCCTTGACAATATTCATTGATAATATAAATTTAATAATCAACAATCATAAGTATCATTACAACAATGCTAATTTTTCTTCATGATGAATATTAAATAAGAAAATCGGTTCAATTTAGAAATTTCCAACTACGAAATACAATCTCTGTCCAACAATTCCATTGGCACAGTGCAGTAATAATTAGCACCATAAATTAATGTAGTAAATGACAGATCCTAGAGTCATCTGTAACTAATTCCGTTTCTCTTCATGAAAGCCCATCACTCAACACTATGCATTCTCCACTGGCTCTTATTACAGCTGTGCCATCTTGCATTTTCTGGGTAAATCTACAGCAGAGCTTCTCTAGGATGGAGAACTAGTTCCTGGAAACACTGGCGGTTGCAGGGCAAGTGCAAGAGGTAGGGAAGACACGGGGATCAAGTACAATACAAAACAAAGATGCTCTGAACATCAACACTACACTCCACAGGAAAAGCCTGTACCTGCACAACCAAGAATCAGTCAACACAAAATGCCAACAGTGCCAAGGCTTTCTGAGAAACCCACACCTAAAATAAGATCTCAATATTCTCATTGTTTTCTAGGCATGTTTCTTTTACTAGTCTTTTAACTTGGTCCTAACTGCAAACAGAAATAATATTTCCATGTCTCCATACCTTTAACATTTATTGTTTCTCTCACCAAGATTGTTTTCCTAACTATTCTTAGTTCACAGCTCCTTCCCTAGCATTTCAATGAAACTCATCTATACCAAGCTAGTCGAAAATAATCCTTTCTCCTCCAGAAGACTTGAACCATATACATAATCAACTACTCCCTGTATTACCCATCATTTAATAAGTGCAATCTAACTATTTATCTGTGACTTCCCTATAATATTTGGGAAAGTGTTAAATGAAATGCTAATGAATACAACTTGGAAAAAAGCACTACCAAAAGCAACTACTACTGAAGTCTCAACCTGACAATTCTAGTTAGATTACTTCCAGGCAAAATGGCCTCATTGTACTAACTAAATAGCCCATCAAGACCCAAATTTAAGCACTTTACTTTGCATAGCAAAGACAGTGGGAGAAACCAGGACATTATTAGTTTATATTGTTAATAAAATTAAGAAATGACCACATCTTCAAAAGCACTCAATTCAAATAACTGAAAATTAACCCTAATCCGAGGCACAAACCAAATAAAACACTTAAGCTAAACCATGAAATGTGCAGTATTGGGCTGCTTTAGAACTATAAAATCAGTCACTTGTATGTCATTCCACCTAACTTTTCCACATATGGTTCTTCTGGTGGTTATTATCATAATTTTAACTGTGCCCTCCCCGTCTTAGGGCATATTTATTTCATTGTCCTCAATCAAAACTGGGAAGAAGTCATGGTGATCTAGAGTAAGTCAATATCTCAGCTGTGAGGAGCACCACCACGCCTGAGTCAAAAATGAGCAAGACTCAATTGCTACTGACTATTATTTTAAATAAAATCATTTTCCACTAGCTCTTTTTCACAAGAACATTCCCAAAACTACAGAAATAAATTTGTGACCTGAAATCTTAGATCACATATTTAAACTTGCCAGGAGCCAGGGCAGTAAAAACTTGAGATTATATGACAAGAAACGACAGACTGTATGAAATTTGAGTGCTTTTAGGGGACATACATTAACCAAATATAATGTCCCTTCAACAATAAATTAGTATTTATCAAGGTCAGAAATCTTGACTTGATACCATACACTGTTTTTAAAGGAGTTTATATATGAATCTCTGGATTATTCCATCCCTTGCAAAGAGAATGCCTGTGAATGACTCCACCTCAATAAATGAGAAAATTAATCTATCAAGTCAGAGTTTATTGAAACACAACCACTTTTGAACATTTAAAGAAAGTAAGTTTTGGAGTTGGTTTCATCAATTCCTACCTTCTAAGTGGTACCAATGATGTGTCAGCTTAGACTGTCACTAACACACCAATACTACCTTCTAGCAGAGAATATTCCTGTTAGTCTTCTCTAAGGAGAAGACATTTTAATTTTACCTCCTTTCCCTTTCCTTTCTCTCTCCTTCCTCAAGTACCAACACCAGTGAATCAACTAAACAGGAGACAAAGAGCTGCAAAGTGAGGGTTAGAAACAGTTAATCAAGACCAGCTTGCCCAGTGTTGACCTCTCGAGTCAACTCATCAATTACCACAATAGCCCGGCCATTCTGACTTGAGATTACATCAACCCACTCTTAGTTTCTAAACATTGAAAAGATTAAATTTTATAGTCAGACCTATTGGATCCATCAGTTTCTGAGTAACTTCACGAGCAGTATTTTAAACTCAGTACCCGTGACTATATCTCCAGAATGAGCTATTTGTGGTGGTATTGTGTTCCCCAAAATATTGTGCATGCTAATAAACTTATCTGGGGTCAGAGAAGAGAACAGCCACAATATTAAAATAGAAGATAGGCAGTGGTAGCACATGCCTTTAATCCCGATCACATGATAAGATAAAAAGGGCAATTTTTGAATCTGCTTTTAAAAAGGAACTACTTGTTTTACATAGGATAAGTAATGAAAATTTTTTGTCTGGGTTTATCATATGTTACTGAACTGGACATTGTTATATATTAATGGAGTTATTCGTCTAAATCTTTCAAATGTTAATGGACTAGACATCGTTAATGTAATCCTGACTGTGTATATTGTATAGACTTATTGGATATAATTTTTCTTGTATTAGTTACAAGCTTTTTTTAATTTTACACCCAAAAAAAGGGGGAAATGTGGTGGTATTGTGTTCCCCAAAATATTGTGCACGCTAATAAACTTATCTGGGGTCAGAGAACAGAACAGCCACAATATTAAACATAGAGGATAGGCAGTGGTAACACATGCCTTTAATCCTAGCATTCCAGAGGCAGAAATCCCTTTGGATCTCTGTGTGTTCAAGGAACCAGCCAAGCATGGTGACTCACGCCTTTAATCCCAGGGAGTGATGGCAGAAAGCAAAAAGATATATAAGGCGTGAGGACCAGAAACTAAAAGCATTTGGCTGGTTAAGCTTTTAGGCTTTTGAGCAACAGTTCAGCTGAGACCCATTCTGGATGAGGACTCAGAGGTTTCCAGTCTGAGGAAACAGGATCAGCTGAGGAACTGGCAAGATGAGGTAGCTATGGCTTGTTCTGCTTCTCTGATCTTCCAGTATTCATCCCCAATAACTGGCTTCAGGTTTGATTTTATTAATAAGACCATTTAAGATTCCTGCTACAACTAATATAAAAGTTAAATGAGATTCTGTATTATATCATAATGCAAATTGTTGGCTGATGCCATTAAACACAAACTAATTTCATCCCTTTGCACTACCTTTAGAAGCAAAGGAGAGTCAGAGGAAAAGAGCGAGATGCTTCAAAATCCCAAAGTGCACGATGGGATACTAAAAACATGTTAGAAGGGATGGAACTATGGTCCAGCAGAAGAGCATATGCGAGGCCCTGAGTGTGATCCCAAGATTGCAAAGAGAAAGAACTTCAAGAGAAAGAACCCGCGGATGGAATGCAATTAGGCTTTTAGTTCTCATTTTATCTAAATGTTTATCAAAGGAGTAGAGATAACAAAACTTTTTAATGCTCATGTGTTTACTGGTGTTTATCAGATATAATTTTGTTTCTCAGATTCCTTTAACTAAAACTCAATCTATTAAGTACACATTAAATACACAAAAGAAAATGCATAAAGGAAAACCATAACGTTCTCGTTTTGCTTTTACACTACGTGAACATACAACTTCCATCATCTTTTAAATCACTAACTAGAATAAGCAAGCTCATGTGCTTTTCGCAAGGTATTGCACCTGCTGTTTTAAAGCATAAGGTCTGCTTGAACTAACTTTATTCTGTAAGAGAGCTAATGCACAAAAAAGTATAACTCCTCTAAGAGTGCCATGTGAGCTGAAAAGGGAACAACCCTGTTCAAGGCTAATTGTCCATATTCTTCTTAATATACTCTTCTATATCTGGGGTACCTCCATTCTTCACTAAAATATATAAGCATAAATGTATGTTAGGGTTTAAAATGGGAAAAACGTTTTTGCATCTTGGAAAAAGGTTCTTCCATACCAGTTAATAATCATTTGAGTAAATATGGACGGCAGCAGAAGCCATAATAGGATCCAGTGAACAGATCTTAGGGAAATGTGGGAAATCAAATGAACAAAATAAATGATATGTGTGCTTTTACTGTAAATGAACATTTTAATCAAAACTGATTCAAAAAATAAAGAAGTTAAAAATACACGGAAGCGCAGAAAGCTGGGAAGGGGAAAGAGAAAGGAAGCGTTTACCTGAAGCATCTCCAACTTTAAAATCACTGTCATCTGAACTATCATAATCAAGAGCTTCCAGGAGAGAAGCTGCCAAAGGCTTCACCTGCCTCCTCTTGGAGCTGCGATCCACTGTTGAGAGAAAATATTAGAGTCATTTTACAATCTCACCAAAGGGAGAGCTGGGATGCTTAAGACGATATATCGACTTCGTGCAAGGGCTCTCTGAGTTCTCAACACAGCGCTTGGGGAGGAGTTGGGTTTGGGGACGCTGGCTGCAGAAGGCCAGGTTGCCCCTGTGGTGAGGCCAAGACCAAGTCAAATCAGCCAAAACCGTGGCAGACCCCCGCCTACCACATCTTCGAGGAACATGCTTCTAAATCCCTCATTTAGACACCACAATGTACAGAAACGTACAGCCCACTGCACCCCAGAAGCCAGGGCTCACTGTCAGGGACCACTGAGCAGCTTCTCCCACGGGTCTGTTTGTCAGGCAGGACCCACCCAACCCTCCCTCTCCGCAAGTCCTGACTTCTGGAAGGGTCGAGGGGACTGAGGCCTCGGATACACTTACTAAGGAATCCGTGAGGCGGTCGTTTGGAGGAGACCTAGGGAGAGGCTGCAGGAGGCAAGGCAGCAGGGACGCGCAGAGGGCCACGGAGACAAGTCCGAGCAGCTATTTAAGGCGGGCGGTGCGCCGACCGAGCAGGGGCGACCCCGGGGGCGGGCCACCGTCCCTCCCCACCCCCAGCCCCGCGCCCCTTCCCCCGCGCTCCCCGGCCAGAGGCGCCAGGCCCGAACCGGCCGCCCTGCGAGGGCAACTGCCCCGGTAAAAACCAGAAATAAAAAGAACAGAAAACTTTATTATCCTGCACCAGAAGCAACAAAAGACCCAGAATTCCCACAGTCGGGGGAGACAATAGGGAGAGCAACGACCCGGATACAGCTCTGACAAGAAGGAAGTGAAAACCACGAGCTAAGTCCGTTGCTGGCGGCAGAAGCTGAGAGCGCATGCGCAGACGCGCTCCCTCCCGGGAGAGAGCCGAAAGCAGCCGAATTAAGCCGACTGGAGCCGAGTAACTTCAAGAAAGATCATGGAGTTCACACAGAACCCCCAAGCTCCGCCCATAGCCTGCGGAAGACTAGGCCTCTCAGAAACCCCATCTCCTTCTAATCATGTAAGACCAATTACTGATTCTGGTTTATGTTTTTTAAGATTTTAAGTTTTTCATAAAAGGAGTTTGCTATCTTAAAGGATTACTAAAAACCATAACTGGTATCTACACCCCACACACACACCACCACCACCTACTGTTTCAGTGAACTGCTTTTCCTTAAATAGGAATGCACAAAAGTGTTCTCTGTCAAAGGTCTGTGAGTGAGAATGTTAGGTCAGATACAAAGGAGTTTTGTTTTTGCTTGTTTGCCATTGTTTTATAAGTAAGGTTTTTTTTTTGTTTTTTGTTTTTTTTTTGGTTTTTCGAGACAGGGTTTCTCTGTGTAGCTTTGCGCCTTTCCTGGAACTCACTTGGTAGCCCAGGCTGGCCTCGAACTCACAGAGATCCGCCTGGCTCTGCCTCCCGAGTGCTGGGATTAAAGGCATGCGCCACCACCGCCCGGCTAGTAAGTTTTATAAGATCCTAATCATAACTAATTCTTTTGATATTGCCTGAGAGTTTGTTTCTTAATGTGGTTACCAGCTATTCCTCTCTCCTGAAGACAAACTGCCGTGCCTAGTACCCAGCCTCATCTACATCAGATTCTATGCATAAGCTTTTCAATCTACAAGGGACATTATAATATTTAATAAAAGAGATGTGCCCACACACACATATGTTCAAAATGTAATGCCTAGCCAATAGGGTAAACTCTAAACAAAAATTCCTAGAAAGAAGCTGTGACTGTTTCAGATAACTGATTAAAACTGCAGTGATGTGGAGAGATTGGGAAGTTATAATTCCAGAGCTTAATTATAAACTATCCTGCTCCATGTTTGGCCTACTGTTATGCCCAGATTGCTGGGACCCCCTAAAGACCACCACAGAGACCAAATCCTGTATGTAAAAGCAATGAACCTTTATTTCAAGCTCTGAGCTTGGTCACTCTGTCTGTCTGATGCAGTAGTGAGAGCAGAGAGCCCCGAGCCCAGGCTGGGTAGGGTTTTTATCATAGCAGAGGTTGGGGTGAGGGGATTTCCAGGGTTCAGGACCCTGATTGGCTGACAATTGTCTAGGGGTATCTGTAAAACAAAAACAGATGTGTGCTAGACTCAGGGACATCTGGCCACCACCTTATCTAATGGTTGGAATATTTGGAAGGTGCTTCCCCATCCCTGGGTGGATCCCTGGGTGGTGTCAGCTTATGGCTTTTCCTGGATCTGGGTGTGGCCTGCCAGTAAGCCTGTCACAGAAACTGTGTCTAGGCCCCTAAGCTTGTCATGGCAGCTGTGTGGTCAAGCTGTTTGGGGCCCCTCTACCCCTATTAAATAGCCATCCCTTGCCTAACTCCATGTCAGATCTAACAATGTGTGACTAACACATAAAGTTCATTTTGGAGTGGGCTAACCGAATGCAGTTTTCCACCAATCAAGGGGCTAAGAATGATGTTAGACAGCATCCAAGGCATACAGCAGAGTTCTCTCCATCTTGCCAAGCCTGATACACCCACCAAAGTATTGGAAAACTGTCTTGGTTTATGGCTTTCTTCTGTTAGTAAAAAAAGTTCATGAAGTCACCACGTCATTGGAACATGATCTTTGGAGAGACCTAAATCTATGTATGTTAGGATTCTGCCACTCCAGCTATATGGCTGCACAGCAGCAGTTCAATAAGCAAGGTATCTTACATCTTATCTCATCAGTGCGCTGCATGATTGTACAAATGCACACAGCAGCACGGTCATGCAATCATAGCATGTGTGGCGCAGCTCCTTAAGCCCACCTGCGAATGTGCAGGGGAATTCTTAAAAAGCCCCACACAGACTCCTCCCCTCTTTTTCTGCTCTTCCCCCACCCCCAGCACGTGCCTCTTTCCAGGCTTGGTTACTCTTTTCTGTCCTCCCCTTCCTCCTAATAAAGCTCTTATACTGGGTTTAGTTGTGCCTCATGCCTCTGACCTTTCTCGCATGGTAAAAGCTCAGCATTTAGAACCAACAATGTACCCAGCCATAGTTACTCATATTTAAGTCCCAGAATAAACTGTCTCTTGTCCTCTCTGAGGTGAGAGCTATGTTTTTGCATTACCATTAAATGTAAAAGTTACATTAGACTTGAATGAATTGCTGTTTTGAAAAGTATTAATCTCACAGAGAAAATGTATCCTTTTAACTGTATTAACTATTGTGTAAATTAAAACTACTTGGAGATTTCATCTTACCCCTCAGAATGGCCAAGATGAATAAAACAAATGACAGCATATGCTGTTGAGGATGTGGGGAAAAGGAAACACTTAGTCATTACTGGTGGGAATAAAAACTGGTGCAGCTATTATGAAAATCAGGGTGGAGGTTCCTCAAGAAGCCAAAAATCCATCTACATCAAGATGCAGCTCTACCACTCTTGGGCATATACCCAAATGACTCTACATCCTACTGAAGAGATATTTGCTCATCCACGTTCACTGCTGCTCTATTAATTATAGGCAGAAATTAAAAACATTATAGATGTCCATAAGCTGATGGATAATAAAAATGTGGTACATTTATACAATGGAATATTATTTAGTTGTTAAGAAAAATGAAATTGGGGGTTAGAGAGATGGCTCTGCAGTTAAGAGCACTGGCTGCTCTTCCAAAGGACCCAGGTTCAATTCCCAGCACCGACATGGCAGCTCACAAACTGTCTGTAACTCCAGTTCCAAGGGATCTGACACCCTCACACAGACATACATGCAGTCAAAACACCAACTCACATAAAAAATAAAATGAAAATATTTTTAAAAAATGAAATTTGCAGGTAAATGATGGAGCTAGAAAAAAAAATAATCTTGAGTGAGGTAACCTAGACCCCAAAAGACAAATATTGTAATTGTCAATTTTAGGAATGTAAGTAAAAAACTATTTTGTGTAACTCAGATACCATTTTGTGTAAGTTCAAAAGCCATTTTATATGACTTGAAATAGTATGATACCTCAGCTTGCCACTAGGCAGCTCTGATAAGAGCTAGGCTTCAAAAGCAAGCCCCTGGCTCAAATAGGAGCCAAGCCCAGGACAGGCTTTGATATGCTAATGAACTAATCCTATGGTGATGTTGAAGTGCTAGTGAACCAGCCCCAAGCTATGAGCTTGTATAGTGCAAAACTACTGCCCAATGAAATGTTACAAAAATTTGACCTTTGGACACTGTGTGGCCCTGGCTTTGGTCACAGCTGAAGTCCCTGAGACCATTGCTGGGCCCACAGGCCCTCTTGTCAGTACTGGTTGCTGGCCACCACTCTTAAGACTTCCCGAACCTTCATCAGTGCCGTCTTTCCAGCCTCCCAAGGTTGAAGTACTTCAAAGAGGACATGGATCAATTATTCAAGTTTCCAAAGCTTTCTCACCTGAGAGGATTCCCCAGAGGAACCCTGCAGTAGCATTTCTGCCCAAACAACTGTTCCCACTTGGTGAGATGTCTGTTTAACTTTTATATTAGCATATTACATGGAATGTTTGTATGAATAAACCACATATATTTGAAAGACAAATCTTGTGTGGACATCCTAATTGCTGAGTGCCTTACAGTCAATAGGCCATGCTTTCTGCAATGTGAATGGATGTCTGCTTTTAAGCTTCTGAAATGTGTGCTACAATCCAAATAATCACAAAGGTTCCATACCTAGTAAGGGACTGGGGTATGTGTGGGTCTCCCAAGGAAGGTCAAATGGAGTATGGTGTTATGGAGAGATAGAGGGGAAAGTGGAATGGGAAGATTAAATGAGGAGGGGTGGGAGAGATGGATAAAGGGGGGATATGGAGAGGGCAACTAACACTAAAGGCCTTTTAAAAAAGCATATGGAAACCTGTTTACTGCTCTGGAGGCAGTAGGACCTAAAAATGAGGCAGACTAAAGTCTCATGCAGTAGAATAGCCAACCTTTTTCAGAGCATCACACAATTTATATTCTGAGGTTTAAGAAGTAATCACATGAGTAAAATGTACAATCACAAGGACCATTCACACATGACAAAAACATGTTTTTCCATAGAGGCATAAAAAACAATAGCCAGATGTACTGAATAATCTGAAGTAAACCACTCCTATCCACTATACCTGGGAGGAGCAGAAAACAAATTCCAAGAACAATTACACGTTATTGAAGAAACTGAGGTGACAAGACTCTTGTTTTGTTTTTTTAGAGTATTTTCACAGGTACTCAGAATTCTCCTCATACAACTCCATTCTTGAACTGTGTTATGATAGAAACCTACTACTGTAGAACCTCCCTAAAGTATATACAATATGAAAAGAATTTAAATAGAGACATCATATACTGGGGAAGACAGTGCCCCAACTAGATATCTTATCTTACCAAGTAAAACTTTAGTTCTGGGAATGAGTTATATCTTGTTGAGTCATGGCCAAAGGGGTCCCATAAAACCCTTAAAATATCACAGACTATTACTTACCCTCTACAACCTGGTGCTAAGTCCCTCGTGCTGAAGACACTATTAACTAATATCATTGAACACATAGACATCAAGCTGGTGCTCAAGTAGAAGCTTCATCCCTAGTGCTAGTGTTCATGGTACTAGAAGGTGCTCTGTATATTACCAGAGGAGAAAGGTAATCATCAATATTACCCAGCCACAAACACTGATCTACAAAAGCAGCCTGCCTGCAAGATATGCTGGTACAATAGTGTCATGAAGGTTATAGGAGTAACCAACCACTTTTTGATTGGAAGACATTTCATAAAAATAAACCACAGCACTTATTATTATTAAGAGAAAAACAAAAACAAACAAAAACCATAAAGAATACAACCAAAGCAGAATCCCTCTTACAAGTACACTGTAAATTTGTTTGTCTTTGTTTTTTTTGAGGGCCAGTCTTGTTCATAAGTAGTCCAGCCTGATCTTGAAGTCACAGTAATTATCCTGCCACAACCTCTCAAGTACTGAGATTACAAGAGTGTGCCACCATGTCAGTTTGGTAAGTTTCTCAGCCTGTGTGTCTACACCAATAGAAAATAGAATCTGGTGTCTTATTATGGAAATTGTTTAAGATTATTTTTAAGTCCATTAAAATATTAAAGAAATATGTACTAGATACAGCAGTTATTCAACAATTTCAGAAGCCACATTCTATACCAACAAAGCTACTAAAATATTAGGATCTGAAACAATCTTATCAGTTTTTAACCTGCTCTTATATTGAGATTATATAAAGGTTTGAATGAAACCTATTAGATCCATTCATTTATTTGACAAATACATGTTGAATGGTGGTATGTGTAACATGGGAAATAAGTTTTGAAAAACAGCAAATGAAATCACAGAATGAAATAAGCTAACTCTTTAAAGAAACGTTTATTGAAACATATTTAGTAAATACCATGAATAGCAATTTAGGGGATGTACCTTATGAAAAATGATTATTGTCTTTTCCCTGCCAGAGCTTAATATACAGTTGAAGATACAATCAGGTAAATTTCTGTTTGTTACTCTGGACAACCAGAGAAAGAATACATATGCTAGAAGAGGAAACACACAAGCACAGCATTCTAGCAGAATTTCTATTTCTATTCAGACACAGCAATATAAGTATGCATCTAAACTGGGTGGAGTTAGGAGTAAAGGGAGACAAAGATGTTTAAAAGCAGAAATGTCCAGGGCTAAGAGCATGTTGAGACTAAAAACCTGATCAGCACACTAAGATATTTAAGAAATAAAAGTTCTATTCATTTCCTTTACCTGTTTGCTTGTTTGTTTGGCTTTCTTGAAGGGATTTATTCATTAACTCCCATTGTTTGTGTTTTCATGGATTTCTTTAAGAGATTTATTTATTTCCTCTTTAAGGAACTCTATCATCTTCATAAAGTTAGTTTTAAGGTCAATTTTTTTTGTGTGTGTGCTTTGGCCATCTTGAAATATTCAGGGATTGCTGTAGTAGGATAACTGGGCTCTGGTAGTGCCATATTGTCCTGGCTGTTCTTGGTTGTTCTTACACTGGCATCTAGGCTCCTAGGTTTAGGGTAATTATAGTTTTAGGTACCAATTTCTGACAGGTTGATCACTAGAATCAAATAGAAGACCCAGACATAGATCCACACACCTATGGACAGTCGATTTTTGATTAGAAGCCAAAACTATACAATGGAAAAAAAAAGTATCTTCAATAAATGGTGCTGGTCTAACCAGATAATGGCATGTAGAAGAATGCAAACTGATCTATATCTATCATCCTGCACAAAACTCAAGTCCAAGTGCTTCAAAGAACTCAATATAAAACCAGACACATTGAAGCTGACAGAAGAGAAAGTGGGGAATAGCTGGGCGATGGTGGTGCACGCCTTTAATCCCAGCACTCGGGAGGCAGAGCCAGGTGGATCTCTGTGAGTTCGAGGCCAGCCTGGTCTACAGAGCGAGTTCCAGGAAAGGCACAAAGCTACACAGAGAAACCCTGTCTCGAAAAACCAAAAAAAAAAAAAAAAAAAAAAAAAAAAAAAAAAAAAAAAAAAGTGGGGAATAGTCTTGAACTCATTCGAATAAGAAACAACTTCCTGAACAGGTCACCAATTGTGCAGGCACTAAGATCAATGATTAACAAATGGGACCTCATGAAACTGAAAAGCTTCTGTAAGGCAAAGGACATTTTCAATAGGACAAAACGGCAGCCTACAGAATGGAAAAAGATTTTCACTAACCCAGTGTCTGATAGAGGGCTGATTTCCAAAATATATAAAGAATTCAAGAAATTAGACATCAACAAACTAAATAATCCAATTAAAAATGGGGTACAGCTCTAAACACAGGTCTCAACAGAGAAATCAAAGTTAAAGAAATGTTCAACATCCTTAGCCATCAGGGAAATGCAAATCAAAATGACCCTGAGATTCGATCTTACATCTGTCAGAATGACTAAGATCAAAAACACAAATGACAACTCCTGCTGGCAAGGATGTGGAGGAAGGTGAACACTCTTCCATTGCTGGTGGGAGTGCAAACTTGTACAGACACTTTGGAAATCAATATGAAGGTTTCTCAGAAAACCATCCTACCTCAAGACCCAGCTATACCATTCCTGGGCATATACCTAAAGGATAATCCATCCTACCACAAGGACACTTGCTCAACTATGTTTAACAGCAGTTTTATTTGTAATAGCCAGAAACTGGAAACAACCTAGATGTCCCTCAACCAAATAATGGATTAAAGAAAATGTGGTACAGCTACACAATGGAGTATTACTCAGATGTAAAAAAAAATAATAATAATAACATCATGAAATTTTCAGGCAAATGGATGGAACTATGAAAAAAAATCATCCTGAGTGAGGCAACCCAGACCCAGAAAGACAAACATGGTATATACTCACTCATAAGTGCATATTAGCTGTAAAGTAAAGGATAATCATGTTATAATCCACAGACCCAGAGAAGCTAAGTAACAAGGAGGGTTCAAGGTGGGGGACACATGAATCTCCGTTGGGGGGGTAAATAAAATAGATATCTGAGGATGGGTGGGGGCAGGAATAGGAGGGATCAGATGAAGAGAAGATGGAGGAAGAGAATACAGGGAGAGATAACTGGAATTTGGGGGCATCTTGGGGACAAGCTAGAAATCTCAGGTAAAGGAAACCCCTAGGAATCTATGAGGGTGACCCTATCAAAGGCTCTTAGCAATGGGAGATATGGAGCCTGAACCAGCCATCTCCTGAAACCAGGCAAGACTTCCAGTGGAGGGACTGGGACACCAACTCAGCAACAAAACCTTCAACTTACAATTTTTCCTATCTACAAGATGTGCTGCAGTAAAGGTAGTATAGAAATTAGAGTAGCCAACCAATGACTACTTGAGAGCTCTCCAGCTTGAGAGCCATGCCATGAGAGGGAGTCCACCCTGACACTACCTGGAGGGCCAGGACCCTGAGACAGTATAGCCCAGAAACCCAGGATAGAACCAAACTCCATGGGGGCCTGGGAGAGTCAATGAAATGATTCCTAATGATATTCTGCTATACTTGTAGACAGTAGCCTAGCATAATCATCATAATCATCATCAGAGGCTTCATCCAGCAACTGATAAAAACAGATGCAGAGACCCACAGTCAAACACTAGGCAGAGCTTGGGAAATCTTGTAGAAGTAGGGGGAGCAAGGATTTTAGGAACCAGAGGGGTCAAGGACACCATAAGAAAACCCACAGAATCAACTATCCTGTGATCATAGGGGCTCACAGACATTGAACTGAAAATCACGGAGCCTGCATGGGACTGACCTAGGCCCTCTGCATGTATGTTATGATTGTGTACCTTGGTCTTCTTGTAGAACTCCTCACAATGAGAGCAGGGGCTGTTTCTGACTCTTTGGACTCTTTTGGGGACTCTATTCTTCATACTGGGTTGCCTTGTCCAGCCTTAATAGGAGGGGTGGTGCCTACCTAATCTTACTGTAACTTGATATGCCATGTCTGGTTGATATCCATGGGAGGCTTGCCCTTTTCTGAAAAGAAGCTGAAGAGGAGTCAATGGGGAAGGGGTTGGGAAGGAAGGAGAGTGGGGAAACTGAGGTTGGGATGTAATATATGAGAGAAAAATAAATAAATAAATAATTAAAAAAAGAAATAAAATTTCACCACTTTGAAATTAAGATTCATTTGATATGGTCTGGCTCAAAACAAAGCAAGACTCTTATTACCAATGGAAAGAAGATATTGTAGTGAGAAACAATTCTTAAATTATCACATGTGATCCTCTGGAATAAAATGCCTGTTGATCACAGTCAATGGGGCAACAAGTACTTCTTATAATATAACATTAAGACGGTAAAAAAAAAAAATGTTTCTGAGCTGGACTGAAAAGTAACTCTAAGAACTGCTTATATATATTTGAACATATTTAAATATGTATTTGAATGAATGTATATATTCAAATATATTCATCTAAATGAATAGTCAAATATATTAGATATATAGTTAAATAATAAATAAATATTAAATATATATATTTAAATGATGAGCAAAAGCCCAGAGTTTTAAATTCTTGTTTCAAGAAATACAGCTTCTCTGTTACTCAAAACTAGGATTTCTCAGTTTGGGCACAATGGATACTTTGGGCTAGATAGTGTTCTGTAGAAGGTGACCCTGTTTGTAAGATGTTCCAACTCTTTCCCTCTACACACTAAATGCCAATAACAGCTCTCCTTCACTCAGGCTGTGACAACTAAAAATGTATCCACACTTCGCCAAATGTTCCTTGGAAAGAAAAGCCAACAGCAGTAGCCCCACTCCTGCCTCTGAGAATCATTGCTCTAAAAGCATCTCGTCTCGTAAAATCACTGAACAATGCCAACAGCCAGTGAACTGGAACCCACAGATTGAGATTTTAGACAGTTTGTGAGCATTGAGTATATTGATTTGTTAGGATACCTGAAGAATTGAGAATGGGTTGCAACATCAGAGAACCTCTCTGTCAATGTAATTAGACCTTTCTTTCTTGTTGAAATTAGACTCATCTCTTTCCTCTTCATCTGTATGACAGGTATCAGAGTCTCCTAGAAATGGGATTGCAGATGTGATTTATGTTTGGCCATAAAAACTTTGAAAAAAGTAGATAGTAGCCAATTTCCTGTAGTGTGGCAGCAAACCATAACAGGCATGAACTCAAACATGGAGCTTCTGAAGAACTTACTCCTGTGCCTAGATAGGAGTGCCCTGACTGGCACATGGCTATGATAAGGGCAGCTACAAAATCAGTAACAGAATCAACTTCCTGACAGGTGGATTACAAAGGCACTTGTGTAAACTTCAAGCCAACTTTCCCGAGGGAACTCCCTAATTTCTTCTTGGGGCATCCATTGATTTTTAAAAAATATCTACTTCCAACTATCAAATCCCTTTCTTCTGAAACATTAAGTGTTCATCTTTATAGTACACTGTATCTTGTCCGATAGGCAATCTTTTAAAATTAAACTTTTTTAGATGGATGTGGTGACCCATTCCTTTAATGCCAGCACTTAGGGCAGAGGCTAGCCTGGTCCAAATACTGAGTTCTAGTCCAGCCAGGACTACATAGAGAGACTCTTTGTAAAAAAAAAAAAAAAAAAAAAATAGATTTATTCATCATTCAAAGTAATCCTCTTCCCCTAACCTCAAAGTGCTACGCTAATTTGACAACCCAAAAGTACAGCACGTAGCCAAAAAGTTGTCATTCCTAATCCATTACAGAGATCACAAATCCTTTCCAGAAGATCTCTAGCTGAGTTTATCATGCTGTAGTTAGTATTTCAGAACTACTCAAGAGAAACAATGCTGAAATTAAAACAAACAGCCACGCAGTGGTTTAATCCACACACCTTTAATCCCAGCACTGGGGAGGCAGAGGCAGGCAGATTTGTGAGTTTGAGGCCAGCTTGATCTACAGAGTGAGTTCCAAGACAGTCAGGACTACACTGAGAAATCCTCTTTCAAAAAAGCAAACAGAGTGTCCTGGAATTTCTGAAGTTCAAAAAAATCCTAAGTGCTCTCAGAAAAGACAGGAAATCTATAATGATATAGAAATTAGGATCAAGTAAAAGGTTCAAGTTTAAACTCTGAGAGATTGGGAATATACTTAACAAAAGAACAATACTGAAAAATATTTTATAGAACTCAAATTTTCATACAGAGGATACATATATATATATATATATATATATAAAACTTGTAATGCAAAAACAAGTCTCATAGAAACTACATTTTTATCCTACTTCCCATGCCCTTAGACAGCCAGTCATCCTTTTAATATAATAATTCATTTTTGAGGGTGCACAACTCAGGGCTGAGATTTTATAACAACGTTATTGAAATATAGTTCACATACCATCAAATTAATTATTTTCTGCTATACAGTGAAGTGGCTTTAAATATACTGAAAGCGTTGTATAAAAGTATATTCCATCACCACTATTCTAGGACATTTACATCACCCCAAAGAGACTCCATACTCTTTATCAGTTAATCCTCACTTCTCTTACACCAGTAACTATTCTACTACCTGTCACTGTTTATCCATTTCACAAAAACAGTATTTATTTCTAATGTACAGTCTTTTCTGTCTGGCTTCTTTTACTTAGCAAAATATTTTCACAGTTCATTTATGTTATAAAAACTTGTTTTTAGGGTTGGGGATTTAGCTCAGTGGTAGAGCGCTTGCCTAGCAAGCACAAGGCCCTGGGTTTGATCCTCAGCTCAAAAACAAAAACAAAATCAAAAACAAAAAACTTGTTTTTAAACTAATGTGATACTGTTAACTATTACTGGTATTTGTTCTGCATGAAGAAAAGACAAAGTAAGAAATACTGTGCTATGATAGCAGTCAATTAGAGCTCTTAAACAAGTTGAGATATTTAAACATATTTAGTGCATATGAAAGGCAGTCTTAGGTCAAGTCCCAAGAAAGAAAAGCATACAGACATAGATACTACCAGGAGGAAAACATCACAAAGTATCCAACAATGTGTCTTAGTCAAATAAGGCTGGAGATATGAAGCTTCATGTCAATGATCCAAAAAGGTAGAGAAGCTTTCAAACAAACATAATGCTGTGGTTGTTTGAATAAAAATGGCCCCCAGACACTCATAGGGTGTGGCACTATTAGGAGATGTGGCCTTGTTGGAAGAGGTGTGTCACTTGGGAGTGAGCTTTGAGGTCTCAGATGCTCAAGCCACACCCAGTGTGGCATTCTCTCCCTGTTGCCTATGGATGCAGATGTACAACTCTCAGCTACCTCTCCATCATCATGTCTGCCTGCATGTCATCATGCTTCCTGCCATGATGATAACAGCCTGAACCTCTGAACTATAAGTGAGCCACAAGACACAGTTACAGTGCTAGTTGTGAGCAATACCTTGAGGAGGTGGAGTCATTTCTCTAGATAATGTACATTCTAAGTTAGCAAATAGTGTCCATTACCATTTGCTGGTAACAAAGGGGTTATATATAAAAATGGCTCTTGTTTCTATGATCCTAGCCACTCATTGGTGAAATAATCACTTCTTAACTTTGTAACATAGCTCTGCTGGCACAGAAGTTTTTGTTTCAATGAAGGGATGCTTCTATGGATGTATACAGCAATGATTTTCCTTAAATTAGAATAGAACTTTATTTGTGGAATTGAGATTTTGAAAATGATTTTATAGTTCATGCAATAGATTTTGATACATTAATCTGGATATACATTTACCATGTAATAAATTTAAAAACAATGTCAAATAGGTGATCATCAAAACCAATTGTATTTAACTTGATATTTGTAAGGAATAATTTGGGCATTATAAATAAAAAGCTAAACCAAATAGCATTTGGGTTTGCATTATTAAGGCAATTTTGTGTGTTTCATTTGTTGGGAGCGGGGGAGGAGAAGTAGAGAAAATGAAGGCTAAAGTACTTTTCTAGAAAAGTACAAAGCTTTGGCTTCATGAAGGGGACTCCAAACTCCACAGCAGTAGAATGTCATTGAGACAGTGTCAAGCAAAGGTGCTCTCTCTAGGTTCCCTCCAGACCATTGGTCCACACCTGGGTGGTGGTGGGGAAGAGTGCTCCTGGACTCTAACACCAGGTTCTAGTGAAGTCACTGGACCATCCAGAGGGATATCAGCCTAATGAAAAGAAAGCTTGTGTTTCCTAAGCTCTGCCCCAAACAACTGTGTACAATTCTATTTCACAAGACAGTTTTATCCTTAGTTCCATACAATGGGGGACATTCCAGATAACACACAGGCCCATATTAGTGTTACTTTGCCACTGTAAAGAAAGTGAACTCTGATGCTAAGATCTATACATGAATACATACATATTCCAGCATGCATTTGGGATCAGTGATAGGCTTTCATCCTCATGTACTCTAGATTGCCCTGTTTTGGGGTCAACATACTCACTGGGAAAAGAGGCAGCGTGGGCACCTGACTTAGACTCTAGTGGCTGGCAGGAAAGCATTCCAGAACTTACCATAGCCTCGGAAGACAAAAAAGTGGGCACGGGTATTCATACCTGACAGATGAAGAAACTAGAGCCCAGTAGTGCAGGTTCACACAGATGGCCATGCCTGTACAGTAATGATTTTATTAGACTGCTACTTGTTCACTTTGGGTCCATCATGCCAGTCAATAAATAGGAAAACAGGGTGTTGTGCTATTAGTTTATGTGACTTAATCTGTTTGCAAAGAAGACATTGGGACATATAACTCAATGAGGTTAAGGAGGAGTACATCTAGAAGGCATGAGATCATCTAGGACAGTGACTACTCTTATACTGCCAAATTCCTTCCTCAGATATCCTTCTAGACGGTTTGTATTTAGTTTTTATTAGAAAGAGATGTAGATTCTTCTGTGGGATCCCATATAATTGGTATTGGAAATTTGAAGGCAATAAGAGACCAGTGTGGTGGCCTCTGTCCTTATGACAGCACTCATCATGTGTCTGATGAGATTTTGTTTGTCTGTTTCAAGTCTCTCATCCCTTCCCTACTGACTACTCTGTTGGCCTCAGGTGGAACGGGAAGCACTGTTTTCCACATACCATATCATAGCAATTCACCATGATAAATATTTTACTATACAAATATGTAGCTTAGGAGTTCTGCTTCTCTGGTTGACCCCTGACTGATGTATTGACCTTCAGTTCTGGTTGTTTTGCCATTTCCTCATCCTTGGCCTGGTTTTCATTTATTCATAGTCTTTAGTCTTAGGACAGAATGTCTTCTCTTCCTATACATTCCTTTTATATGTTTGTTGTAAACAAGCTCATTGGTTTCCATTGTATTAACTCTCATCCATAGGCTCTTCATTTTCAAATTTTCTTTTTTTTTTTTTCCAAGACAGGGTTTCTCTGTGTAGCTTTGTGCCCGTCTTTCCTGGAACTCACTTGGTAGCCCAGGCTGGCCTCGAACTCACAGAGATCCACCTGGCTCTGCCTTCCGAGTGCTGGGATTAAAGGCGTGCGCCACCACCGCCTGGCTATTTTCAAATTTTCTTGATCTCAAGAGTGATCTAGATCTTTCCTGGCTTAATGTATCTCTAACTGGAGTTATTTCACAGGTATCATTGATTCAGTGATTCCAAAAATGATTTCATGATCTGGAGCTATAATTCAGGGGCAAAGTGCTTGCTGTACATGCATAGGTACATAGAGTATATAGGTACTCTAGCTCCCATGTAAAAGCAGAGAGCAGTGGTATATACCTCTAATTCCAGAGCAGGAGAAGCATGGTCAGGAGGATTCTTGGAGCTTGCTGGCCAGCTAGTCTAGCCAAACCCACAAGTTTCGGTCTAGTGGGAGACTATCTCAAAAACTAAAGTGGACAATGACTGAGGAAGACACTAGACACTAGCCTCTGGTACTCATGCATATACATCCATACACACAAGCAGGAAGATAATTAGTTCATTTTTCTTTAAATTAAATGAACATGATAAAAGCAAGTTTGTGGTGATATTTTATTTGTGATGAAATGTGGTGATATTTTATTTGTATGTTAATAAATAAAGCATGCCTGGAGATCAAGGGGGAAAAGGCAGCCATTTTTAAGTAAACATGGAAGTCAGGCAGTGGTAGCACACGCCCTTAATCTGATCACGTGGCAGGCAGGGTCTCTGCGTGTTCAAGGACACACTAGAGAACAGCCAAGCATGGTGACACAAGCCTTTAATCCTAGTACCAACCATAGAGACCTGGAGGTCTGAACAGACAGGCAGTGACAAGGAAGTGAGGTAGCTGGGCTAAGAGCCAATGAGAGGGCAGAACAGCAAGGCAATAAAGGCATAGGAGACAGGCAGTAACTCACCTTTTGACAGCTGCAGAGCTGGAGAGGTAAGGTTGGTGGCTATCACTATTTCTCTGATCTCTAAGGCTTTCACCCCTATATTTGGCCCTGTGTTTCTTATTTAATAAGACCATTTAGAAATTCGGCTACACAAGTTGAGTTGTATACTAGTTTTTGTTGTGGTATTTCTCATAAAGCTTTTTATTGTGTATCTGCCATTCCCACTCAGCACAGCAAATAGTACCTATTCAATATATGTTCATGAGCAAATGACTGAATGAACTAAGGAATCCATAGAGAAAATAAAAACTCAAGAGAGATAATAAATGGCATCAAAGAAGAAAGATGGAAAATGAGAAAGATCTAAAGTCTATCATATAAAGATTAGCTGTCTGATGTCCTATTGCAAATAAGACAAACACAAATTTCCCCCTAAAATATTATGTAGCCATAAGGTTTCATTGAAAAGAAGTACTAACTAAATTACTGTGTCTCAGCTTTTTAATATTCATTGAATTTTGCATATAAAGTACTTCAAGTATTTAATTTAAACTATAGCAGTGAAGCTTTGAGATTTATAACAGTGGGAGTAAACTTTCAGACCAAAATGCTTTCATTTTTCTAATAGAAATTTTATAATTAGTGGTAGTTTATGCTAAATTGTCATACTAGTACACGAACATATTTGTTTTCAGATTAAGGATAGTTGCAGAATCTTTATTAACAAGTGAAGGTATTTGCATTTGTTTTATCAGAAAAAAACTCCAATTGTCAAATTATCTACTAGAAAAATAATTAAAATCCTAAATGCAAACTGAATAAAAATATGATCCTGTCTTCAATTTACATTAATATAATTGTATTCTATGGCTCACTTATTAAATTATTTTTCTCAAAAGAAGCTATTTCTTTACTATCATGCATTAATAACAACACATAATCATCCAGAATTTTCTAGGCTTGAATCTTCAAGGAATATATATAAGAGCACTAATTTATCTTGGGGGATATTGATAGTGATTTAGAGGTATTCACCATAGGATATCTATTTGTTTGTTTATTTTAGAGACACAGTCTTTTGTATCTTAGTCTGGCTTCACATTAACAATGTAGCTGAGGCTGGCCTTGAAGGCCTGACCTTCCAGCCTTTTCCTCTTCAATGCTGGGATTATAAATATATGCCACCATGTCTGGCTACAGTTTCATTTAAGTTGGGCAACTATTATTAATATATTTTTAAATTTCTAAATCATTCAAAAAAATAAAACAAAAAGAACAAGAAATAAGCATGGTACAAATCTCAAAGTGAAATGGTAAAAGATACCCCAATTCATTTATTAAGATCCTATGCCATTCAGTTACTTTATTCTGCATTTAGAAATAATTTTTGAATCTTCACTACCTAAAGGATAAAATTCCAAGTCTCAAACTCTCCCAAATCTGAGTTAACCTTTTCAGCTTCATTTCCCATGTCTCCTCTCTATGAAAGCCAAGTCCCACTACACCAATCTCAGCTTCTTCCATACCCTATAAACGTAATAGCTTTCATTTCTCCCTGCTTTGCTAAGAATATTTTGTACGTACAGGCTACAAGGCTCCCTTTTCCCCAATAATTCTACACGATATGATACTTCATCACAGTATTAATGCTTTCTGTTTTTTGCTCCTTTTATATTTCTGAGTATGTGCATGTTCATGTGTGTGAATAAATAAATCCTGGCTATCCAGGGTGGACCCTAGGATGACTTTGGCTTATAATAAGTTTTGGTTTTACTCAATCACTGGGCAAGCCTCAGTGAAACATTTCACTATTAGGATAAGAATTTGTACTGTATCAAGCTGATAATAGGAAAAAAAAAGAAAAATTTAAATAAAAAAAGAGTAAGCTAGTAAAAAGCTTGAGCTATTGGCTGAGCATTTATATGTAATATTATGTCTTCATGTCGGTTGTTTGGGAAGTGGCTGCTGGGATGGGAAACTTCTGCCTACACTACAGTTCCTTTAAAAGTAATTAACAAAAGGCTGGGGAGATGGTTCTGTGCTTGAGAGTGCTTGCTGCTCTTCTCTTCTAGCGGACACATTTGGATCTCAACATCCAAACAGGGCCTTACAACTGCTTGTAAATTCAGCTCCAAGTGACCTGGCACCATCTTTTGGCCTCCAAGGACACCTGTACTCATATTAATGTGCATATACCCATATACAGACACACATACATATATGTAATTCAAAATAAAACAGTTTCTTAGTGTTTAAAAAAAATCCTGGCTATCATGTGGAGGGCCTAGGACACCCTTGAGGATTGATCCTTGTCTTCTACTTTGAGACAGGATTTCTTATTCTCTGCTACTGTGTACTGCAGGCTAGCTGTCTCATGAGCTTCTAGAGTTTGTCTGTTCTCTGTAATAGGATTAGAGATGCACGCAACCACATGTGGCTTTACATGAGTTCTAGAGATCCAAACTCAGACCCTCATACTTGAAAGGTAAGCATTTCTTACCATGCCATCTCCCTAGCCAGCCTTTTACATTATTTTTATTTCTGTATGCCCCATTCTCCACATCAAGTCACTGGTCTGAGCTTGACACTAGCAGAATTAAATATAATTTTTTCCTAGAAAAAGCATTAAATATGTGAACAAATGGCCAATATAATAGAGTGTCTCTTTATTACAAACATTTAGAGTCCTAAATGTTTATTCAAGACATTTAGGTCTTGATGTTCTTTGCTCAAAATCCACTCACCTCTGGGAGACCCTAATACTCACTCTTGTCTGTCATTATTTGCTACTCAGAGTCTATGATCCACAAATGATGTTGTGGAATCTTCTTTTACTTTCTTTTCTCTTCCTGTCCTTCCTGAGTTTCTTTTTCTTTCCCCTCTTCTTTTGCCCCACATTTTATCTTCATCATCTCTCTTTTTTTTTTTCCTTTTCAGTGCTAAGGATGGAACTAAAGCCCTCATACAGAGTGAGGAATATAGCACTGAGCTACATTCCCAGTCCAATACTGTGATTTCTAGGTTGTTGTTGTTTTCTATAATTGTCTTTGATTGGTCTGATGATCTATGAATTAACAACTTTAGTTGTCATAAAAAAACAAACAAACAAAAAACCAAATTTCTACAGTGGAACAGAGACTTGAGACTGGAAAATTGCAGTGAAGCTCTTGTTTGGCAAGAGAATGAGAATTGTATACAGGTATTGAAATGTCATTGGATCTAAGTTGCTGTGGCATTAAGATAGGAAATAGTATTTGACTAGGTCCTGATTTTGTCAGCACTCTTCCTCAATTCTTGGCTTAAATCCACGTAAGGAGTTCATAAGCACAAGCATATCTTTCTATCTGATTCTTTCCTCCAGAAGATTGGAGAAATGAAATATCAATTCACAACTCAGTCAGTTTTTGAAACCCAAAGCTAAGAGGTCTTTTTTTTTTTTTTTTTTTTTTTTTTTTTTTAAGTATATAGTCTACTATTCTTCTATTTGAATCTGGTCAAGTCTCTGCATCATTGGCCAAACCTGTAATTCTTTTTGAGAGAGACTATGCTGCTAATCACAGACACTATGACTTGAAACAGTAAAGCTCTCTTTCCTACTTTGAAAACATGCCCATCATAGGTAAGCAATGGCTCTTCTCCAAATAGCTTTCAATTTCACACCCGAGCTGGTAAAGCAGCTGCTGTCTAGACCACACCTGGATCTTGTCACGGAGGGAGAAGAGAAGAGAGAATAGCACACGGGGGCCAACAGTGCTGCAAGACAGGAAATGCTATTTCTCACATTTCCTTTACTGCTAGAGAAAGTCATCTTATCAAACCTGATGCTAATGCGGCAATGAATTGCCTCTCCCTAAGGCCAGGCAAGAGGAATTTGTAAATGATATAATCTAGCACACACCAAAGCCTTGCTTCTGAAACTCACATTGAATTTTGCAATGCCTCTTCTACAATGGCTTTTCTAAACTGTCACCTCTAGTGTCTCCAGTCCTACCTACCATACAGGTCACTACTCTTTCCTCTAACTTTAATATGCAAAATTTAAGCTTTGACACTTTGACCTGTTAGTTACTGTCTACTGAACCTTATACTGTGCGATTCTGCCTGGTTAACATTTCAAATATGGACCTGGCTGTCGATATTATTGTTATTTCTAGGAACTAGGCCGTGGTTAAAAAAAAAAGTGAACTGCTGGACTTTACTTTCTTTTGAATTATGGTATTTCTGTATATCTACTTACTTTTTATTACCGATATTTTTCACTCCAGATGAAATATTCAATAAAAGGTCTCCTCATCTTGTAATTTCTTTTTCGGCCAGCCTGGCTATACTCACTACTGCAGTTCCCTTGTTACACTTGAGTACTTTCTGTACTGATTTTTAGCATAATCATACTCTTTACCATAGTATGTAAAGTTTAGCAAGATTGCCATCCCTTAGTGATCTCATTTTTCTCTCCTTTGTTATACACAGACTGTGGTGATATTTTGTTTGTGCTCTAACAAATAAAGCTTGCCTGGAGATCAGAGGGCAGAGCTAGCCACTAGTTAACCATAGAAGCCAGGCAGTGGTGGCTCACTTCAGAGGAGGAAGCAGGAAGATCAGGAGTTCAAGGCCACCCTGGGCTACATGAGCTTGATCTAGTGTAAAAGAGAAACAGAGCCAGACAGCAGAGCTCAGGCCTTTAATCCCAGCACTAGGGAGGTGGAGACATGAATATAAGGCAGGTAGAGACAGGATCTGGGGTCCCTTCGGTCTGAGGATTCAGTAGAGGTTAAGAAGTCTCTAGTGGCTGGTTCCTTTACTTCTCGGATCTTTCAGCATTTACCCTGATATCTGACTCTGGGTTTTTATTATTAAGACCAATTAGAATATGTGGTACAATGGACCAGTCACATAAGCTTCCTTTGAGTATTTTTTCTGTTGCTGTTTTTTATAATCTCTGGGCATTTTCATTTAACTAGAGTGTTCTTCCCTAGATCGTCAACTGATTGCCTTTTCTTTTCATTTAGGTTTCAACTCGGATATCCTCAAAAGGATCTTTGCTTGCCCACTCTAGCTAAAGTAACCTTCTTCCCTCCACCTCGCTCTTGTCAGTTTTCACTCTTACTCTATTTTAGTGGCGTATCTGCAGCTCTCTAAAGTTATCTTATCTGTTCATTACCTGTCTTTCCTAGTCAACATGGTAGGTCTGTTAGGTCACAATACTTTTTTCTCCAATGCTAAATTCCCAGAAGCTAAGTGATGTTCATGGAGGCATATGTCTGTGATGCCGGCTCTTGGAAAGCTAAGGCAATAGTCAGAGGCCAGCTAAAACAAAACAAAAGCAAAAGCAACAGTTCTGGTATAGAGCAGGTACTCAGTAAAAGTTTTCTGAATAAATGACAAAAAAAGTAAGAAAGAAAACAATGCGGGCTTTACATTGATAACCTTCGCCACCTATCATCCACGTTTCCCTCCTCACTGGTTTTATCCAAACAAGCATTTCATGCTGGAATTTCTCAGTTGGATGCTTGGCGTCTTTTCTCACTCCATCTCCTAAACTATTCCAGCCAGTCACACAGCTTATTTCCCATTAAAAAAAAAAAACAAACTCCTACATTTATTTTCTAATTGTAGATTCTACATATACATTCTTTAATATAATATAAATAGCATTATTCCAGTAATTGGTATGGATATTCTCACAGCTGGTCACCACTTAACTTCTGATATTCTTTTCTTTTTCTTTTTGTTTTTTCAAGACAGGGTTTCTCTGTGTAGCAGCCCTGGCTGTCCTGGAACTCGCTTTGGAGACCAGGCTGGCCTTGAACTCACAGAGATCTGCCTGCTTCTGCCTCCTGAGTGCTGGGATTAAAGGTGTGTGATACCATGCCTGGCTCTGAGATTATTCTTTTTTTCAAAAATTTTTTTTTTTTTTTTTTTTGGTTTTTCAAGACAGGGTTTCTCTGTGTAGCTTTGTGCTTTTCCTGGAACTTGCTTTGGAGACCAGGCTGGCCTCGAATTCACAGAGATCCGCCTGCCTCAGCCTCCCGAGTGCTAGGATTAAAGGCGTGTGCCACCTCCCCCCACCTCCCACCCCCCCACTCCCCCCCCCCCCCCCACCCGGCTCTGAGATTATTCTTAACCTTTCTCCTCACTCACCTATATCCATCAAACCATCAGGTCTTGTTGGTACTACATATTTTTCTCTGGGATTTTTGCCCCCTCCCTGTCCAATCATTACATTCCCTCCCTTAGGACCATTGCAATAGCCCCTTTATATTGCCCCCTTTGAGCGCGCGCGCGCACGCGCGCGCACACACACACACACACACACACACACACACACACACACACACACACACACACCTCTCTTTCATGTTTGGACCCTCTACACTATTCTTCATAGCCAAAGGATTTCTTTTCAACCGTAGAATCTTCTTGGTGAACTTCCTAAAGTCCTGAGCATAAAGCCCCATGTAAGTGGTCCGTGGCTCAGATGTGGCCCCTACTTTGCCTTCTCCCTTAAGTTCCAGCGGTAACAACCTTAGCACCTTGGCAGCTGTGAGCCTCAGAAGTCTTCACTTGACTTGTCTTCCTTACACACTTCAACCTGAAGCTTGCACTTGGCTAATGTCTACTTCTTCAGTTTAGTAGTTTCAGTGAAGACATTTCCTCTTTTTAGTCTTATTATTTAAAAAGCTTTAATATATGTAGGGAGTTGGAAAGGGTTCAAATTCTTGGTTGTGATTGCAAATGCCCCATTAAACCCCGTCCCAAGGAGGCCTTTTGAGTAAAGGTAAATTTGAAAAGAAATAAACGAAAATTAAAATAGGGTAGTAGAAAACTTAAGTGTAGGAACACAACCCTTGAAGATGCAGTATCTGGACCAAGAAGGGATGGTGGCATGTTGCAAAAATTCTTTGGGGCGACGAATCTTCAAATGAGTGTCATGACCTGGGAGTCTAGCAATCACACTGAAGAAACGAAGGCCATCTGTAAGTCACTTACTAGTTTTTTTAAACTTCTGTCCCTAAGCGCCAGTGGAAGACAGGAAGCAGCTGCAGTCTTAAACCGCAGCCCTTGACCTCGGCGGCTGGAGACACGACCTGTCCCCTGCGGGAGCTGAGCGATGACCCTACAGAGGCGCCTCGCGGCTCCCTCCGGGCCCTCCGGGCGGCCCGGCGCGCGCACGGCACGCGCGCCCCCAAGCGCGTCCGCGTGCGGCCCAGGCCGGGAGGCGCCGCTAGGGAAGCCGCGCCCGCAGCCGGCCGGCCGCTGACCCTGCTCTACACGCGTGTCGTCCTAACAAGTGCCTGTCTCACCAGTCGAGACGTTCTGATTTCTACGCAGAAATAGACCCATCGGAAAGGTGCATTGCGAAGGACTGAAGGATGCTGAGCTTCACAATGGAAAGCAGAGGTCGGGCCAGGTTAGCACGACCGCGCAAGGGCTGACTCATTCAGGCACTGCCGAGGACAGCCGCATCCGGGCTTTCCTGCCGCAGGCTGCCCTCCGAGCCAGGGGTCCTTCAGGTAGGAGGTCCTGGGTGACTTTGGACGTCCGCTCAGCCGGGTTGCAGAAGCAGCTTGGTGTGTGTGTCCTGCGGTTGTTCTGCTGTCTCCGTGGAGGTAGGCCCCTGCCGCAAACATGCTCCGACAGATCATCGGGCAGGCCAAGAAGCATCCCAGCGTAAGTTCATGATCTTTTCCAGGGTGGCTTCTTCGTTGTCGTGCACCTGTCTCTATCCCCTGGGGACGTCTTCTTTTCACTGTTACTTGGGGTTGCACAGTGGTTGGCCTGACCTGGCTGTTCGAAGCCTTTTATTTGCGACTGTTTACTCCTATTCACTGCGAGGTTTTACCTGAAGCAGAAGGTGACAGACATCGGGGAGAAAGGTAAACATTCTGAGTGTTGGAACACTGGCCACGCTCTCTCAGATTGGTTGGTCCAAAGAGGGGTGGATGGTACATAGAGTGGGTAAGAATACAAGAGAGGTCAGGTTTGGTATGTTGGTTTTCGAGGCTTTTATATTCACTGCATTGCACCACCAAGACTTCTGAAATATAAGGGATCTGCATTTTGGAATCCTCATTTTGCTTGGATACCTTGACATTTAAGTTTTCTTCACATCTCCCTTTTGCTCAGTAAAACTCCCTATGACAGTCCCTAAGACAACCAATTTTTGCCTTAATCCTGCTTTTCTAAATACTCAGCAAAATTAATAGAAATCCATTTTCAGAGTTGATTCCTAAAGCCAGTGCTTGTAACAAACCTTTCTGTCAGCTAATTGTGCCCTTTATTTCCCAGGGATTATATTGTTCACGGAACTTTTCAGAGCCACTTGAGTAGTTTTCAAAGGGATACCCTTCCTTCCAGCCTTACAGGAAGTACTTCCCGTTACTGCCAGGGAAGTAATGAAATTGAATGGGAAGATTGTTCAAATGTTACAGACGTGAATGTACTTGATATGATGATGATGATGATGATGATGATTTTAATAGACAGGATTTCTCTACATAGCCCTGGCTGTCCTGGAACTTGCTTTGTAGAACAGGCTGACCTGGAACTCATGGAGATCTGCCTGCCTCTGTCTCCCAAGTGCTGAGATTAAAAGTGTGCACCACTACCACCTGGCTCATAGGATTATTTTTCCATAAAATTTTCTCCACATAAAGAAGTCAAAGAGTCTTAAACCAAAATCATTCTAATATTTTTTTTGTAAAGATCATGCCTTTAGAATGCAATCAAAAGGAAACATTGCTTCCATCTAAGATCAACCTTTATTCATATTTTAGGAAAAGTTAGCGAAATAGCAGATTTGGAAGTTCCTATATAGAAACCAGTGCAGCCTTATTTTGGACAAGATCAAGGAATGTGATGATGGCTACTACTTTTTGTCTGTTCTTCATTCTAGTTGATTCCTCTCTTCCTGTTCATTGGAGCAGGAGGTACTGGAGCAGCACTGTATGTGATGCGCTTGGCGTTGTTCAATCCAGATGTCAGGTGAGTCTACAGGTGTTAACTCTTGCCTGGCTGAGGAAGCTGGCCTGGGGACCACAGTCCTGGGAGAGGTAATACAGGAGACAGGGTTTCTTTGTGTAGCTTTAGAGCCTGTCCTGGAACTCAGCCTGTAGCCCAGGCTGGCCTTGAACTCACAGAGATCCACCTGCCTCTGCCTCCCGAGTGCTGGGATTAAAGGCGTGCGCCACCGCCGCCGCCGCCGCCGCCGCCGCCGCCACCACCACCACCACCACCACCACCACCACCACCGCCTGGCTAAGTCTTTCATTTTGAAGATTGGGATAATAATTGTTTTGTTTGTTCGTTTGTTTATTGTTTTGTTGTTGTTTGAGACAGGGCCTCACTATGTATCTCTGACTGTCCTGGAACTCGCTTTGTAGACCAGGCTAGTCTTGAAGTCACAGAGATCTGCCTGCCTCTACCTCCCTAGTGCTGGAATTAAAGGCATGTGCCACCATGCATGGCAATAATTGCTTTTTATAAAATACTTAACCATGATTCCTGTCCTATGTGAATATTTTATCTTCTTTCCAAAATAAACTTGATTCTTTTTGCAGTTGGAAAATGATTGATTAGGCATTCTATATACTTTTATATATTACCTAATGATACAATAGAAGATTTAAAAAAAGCCAAATACAAACATTCCTGTTGTAACGACGGGGATGAGGATATCCCAAAAGACTGTGTTCTTGATTTTTACCTGTTGTTAACTATGAATTCTACTTCTGTTTAACTCTATAATGAAAGTAATACCATGCTAGACCTACTAGAAAATGAGTTTGATCTATTCAGAATACTAGCTGTTAAGGAAGTATTTTAAAAACTATTGTAAGTAGTGTTTTATTACTATAATAATTAAAATATTTTATTCATTTTAGCTGGGACAGGAAAAATAACCCAGAACCTTGGAACAAACTGGGTCCCAATGAACAATATAAGGTAAGGTACAAAATTGCTAAACATTGCTGGAAAGCATATTGTAACAGATATGTGGCTGTGTGGCAGTTTTCCTTGAAATGGGATAAGCAAGTAAAATTCCAGTATGATAATGAACTTTGAAGAGCTCCTGCCGCTTTGCTGAGCTGGGATTGAGGGTTTGCATTTCATAAAGCTTCAGGTGCTACTGCTGTTGCTTTTGAAATATGGATAGCCTGGTCTCTTGGGTGGTTTGGTTGGCTCTCTCTTGTTAGCATGGCTCAGATATTTTAGGTGAGGATTAGTAGGAAGAAATGAAAGTCAGTTGAAAATTGAGTTTTGCCGTGAGCCTCATAGATAAGCTTTAACATCTTCCCAGAAGAGTGGTCTATGTAGCTACTCTTAGGAAGAATGCATTCGTGTACCATGACTATTGATTTCTCAAATATAACCTTTCTTATGTGTAACATTTTTCATGTAAACCCTTATATTGTCAAGAATTCAGGTATAATTTTCATACCATACAGTTTATCTATTTAGAGTGCCTAATTCTCTCATATGTTTTCTGTTACATAGAGCAGTTTCTAAGTACCTAGCACTCAAGAGTCATACTGAGCCATGTTTGACCAAGACTTGGGGAAAGTGTCTGTGGTAGAGATGGGTTTATATTACTGTATTACTTATATAAGATGGGTACTTAATACTGTTTATGGCAACTTTTATTTATTTATTTATTTATTTTTTATTATTTTTATTTTTTTATTTTTTGGCTTTTCGAGACAGGGTTTCTCTGTGTTTCTCTGTGTAGCTTTGTACCTTTCCTGGAACTCACTCTGTAGCCTAGACTGGCCTCGAACTCACAGAGATCCGCCTGCCTCTGCCTCCTGAGTGCTGGGATTAAAGGCGTGCACCACCACTGCCCGGCTGTTTATAGCAACTTTTAAGATTATTCTTTACTCACTTTAAGATTTCTGCTTAGCCCAACTATAATTTGGCTTTTAAGTACTCAAGCTGCTGTCCTTTAAAGATAGAACTAGAAATTCACTAGCCAAGCTGAACCAAGCCATCTGGTATGTCTTTTTAACATTTGCTCAAGAAATAATAGACAGGCATTCTCATTCATTATTTTGATTTAGGAATTTAAGTACCAGTTATTCTGGGGGGAAATGTATCTGCATGTAAGAAACATTAAGAAGGAGAACAAAGAACGAGATTTTGGTTGTTTGACCAAAGAACATATTGGGTTATTCGATATATGTATTTCAGAAAATGTACCAGATGATTCCAATAGTTGTGCCAGTTATCAGTGCCTTGGAATAGGATGACGGGCTGATGTGAGGCTGTGTTAACTGGAAATATATTGTTTCTTTGTTGAGACCCTGATGTTTGTTGCATAGCTTGAGCCTTGAGTGCCTTGGCTCATAGGGGGTAGAAATTGAAGAACACTGCTGTATTGTAGTAGAAATGAAGAGAGTGAAATCTAGAAATGAGATTTTATTTTTGCTTCTAAACCCAAACAGTGAGGTAAACTAGGTTATTTTCTCCATAGTTGATTTTTCTGTTACCTAAAGGGAATTTTTTTGAGGACCAGGTTTCTCTGTATAGTTTTGGCTGTCCAGTCTGTAGACCAGGCTGGACTTGCATTCAGAGATCTACCTGCCTCTGCATCCCAAGTGTTGGGATTAAAAGCATGTGCCAGAATTCGTGGCTTCACCTGAAAGAATTGTATTTATCTGGCCCACAGACATCAGACTTTCTATGACTTTCTATGACCAACAATGAGATGGAAAGATGATATTTACCACTTTTAAACTATTTTGATCTGCCCCACTGTTCTTTCCATTTCTCTTGAGAGCCAGAGTGGCATATAAGGGCTTCTCATCAAACTGGAATGAAATGAGTGTGGAGTAATTGACTTAAAAACAGCAATGGGAATAAAAAAATAAGTTTATCGTGTTAAGATGCTAAGATATGGGGTGGCTATGATTAAAAAAAATACTATAGATCGGGAAGCTTAGGCAACAGAAATTTGTCACCGTTGTGGAGCTGGGAGTTGTGAGACCAAGGTGTCAGTCAGTTTTGTTCCTGATGAAGATCCTCTTGCTGGATGCTTTCACAAGAGGAAAAGAGGTAGACACTGCCCTGTTTTTCTGTTGTAAAGAAAACAGTCTAGTTGTGAAGGCTCTGCCCTCATGACCTAATTACCTTCCAAATTCTCATTTTCTAAATATCATTATCCCATTGGGACTAAAATTTCAACAGAAATCTCAGGAGGACATGAGTATTCTGTTCGTAAAAGGAGTTTATTGGTTCCCCAAAGCAGAAGCTCACAAACAACAAGAGATTAGAGAAAGATGGGATTTAAGGATTAGCAGCCCAGCAGTATGTCAATGAAAGAAGTGCTTCAAAGGCAGGATCAGATATAGCAATCTAGGATGCTTTCACGGTGACCTCTGGTAAGTTGAGAAAAGCAGCAGAGGCATGGAAATGAAAAAAGTAAATCAGATTCCAGAATTACTTCAGAGAGAATTTGAAGTACAAAGCAGGTACATCAAAAGCCTATTAGCTTTTAGGAAAAAAAAAATATTGTTGAGACAAGGTCTTTCTACATGGTCCTGGCTGTCCTGGAACTCACTCTGTTGACCACGCTGGCATTGAATTCACAGATACCTGCCTGCCTCTTTGCCTCCAGAGTGCTGGGATTAAAGGCATGCATCACTACTTCTGACAAAGTAGTTGGTTTAAGGAGTAGCCATGGCTGTCTTGGAACTTGATATGTAGACCACTTGAACTCACAGAGATCACCTGCCTCTGCCTCATAAATGCTGGGTTTGAAGGTGTACACCAACACACCTGGCTATGGCTTTGTTTTTAAATATTTATTTTTATTATTTTGAATTACATGTATGAGTGCAGGTGCCTGCTGAGACTACGGATGTCAGAGCCCCTGGAGCTAGAGTCACCAAGGTGGTTTGTGAGCCACCCCACATGGGTGCTGGGAACTGAACTCTGAGCCTTTAGATGAGCGGTACATGCTTAATATGTATTATACCTGTATATCTGTCTGAAAATATCCTAATGTTACGCAAACATGTTAGAAACCTTGTTGTCTCGGTAAATTGATTCTTTTTTTCTTTTGGGGGGCTTTTAGTTTTTTCAAGACAGGGTTTCTCTGTGTAGCTTTGGAGCCTGCCCTGGAACTCACTGTGTAGACCAGGCTGGCCTTGAACTCACAGAGATCTGCCTGGCTCTGCCTCCCAAGTGCTGGGATTAAAGGCATGTGCCACCACTGCCCGACGGTAAATTGATTCCTAGCAAGACAGAGCAAAAAATATTTCTGGTTTACTTAAAATTTTCTTTGCAAGTATCCCCAGATCTATATGTACATATGAAGGATGACATAGTAATATGCTTTACAACTTGGAGATTTTTCTTTTTTAAAAATCAGACTGGGGATAAGGTTCAGCTGGTAAAGTGATTGCCTAGCATGTGCAAAGCCCTGTGTCTAGTCCACAGCACCCTTAAAACTAAGTGTGATGGCATATGCCTGTCACTCTAGTGCCGGAGAGGAGACAGGAGAACATAAACTCTTAAGATCATCCTCAGCCACAACATGGAGGCCACCCTTGGCTGTGTGAGACCTTCCCCACACAGTGAAGAAGTGTATGTGTGAAGGAAAGGGGGTTTGAAGAAATCTGTTTGGGAACAGATTTGTGAACCATTGTCTGTATATTTTTTTACAGTGCTGTGACTTTGAATTAGATATCAGCCCTGAAATCCCCCCTTAATACAAACTGTCTTAGTCACAGTTCCATTGCTGCGAAGAGACTCCATGACCAAAGCAATTCATATGAAAGAGGGCGTTTCATTGGGGACTTCCTTCCAGTTTCAGAGGCTTAGGCCATTATTATCTTGGCGGGGAGCATGGTGGCAAGCAGGCAAGGTGGCAAGAATGTATCTGGGAGCTACACCCTGATCCACAAGCAGAGGAGGAGAACTGGGCCTGGAATGGGCTTTGGAACCTCGAAGCCCACCCTCAGTGACTCACTTCCTCCAACAAGGCCACAACTAATCTTCTAATCATTCTCAGGGAGTTCCCCTCCCTGGTGACTAAGCAGTAACATGTGAACCTTTGGGGACCATTCAAACCAGCACACAAACTCTGGAGAAAATGTTTATAATTCTTTTGCAGATAAATTGAGTAATCTTCAAGGAATTGTAGCATTATCTTCTCAATTTTCTTTAGCCCAAGAATAAGTAAAACTAAGATAATTTTTTATTTGTTTCTTCCAGTAGAAATTCTAGACCAGTTTCAAATATATCACTAAAAAACAACAACAAAGAAAACTCACTAGGAGTTAGACATTGTTTAGCACTATCACAGGAAAATTTATTTCTAAAATGAATCTTAATTGACTGTAAGGAAATACTTGGAAATCTTAAACATGTATAAGTGCCTAATCACCAAGTTGGCTGGTGGTGCACGCCTTTAATCCCAGCACTCAGGAGGCAGAGGCAGGTGGATCTCTGTGAGTTCGAGGCCAGCTTGGTCTACAGAGGGAGACCCAGGACAGGCACCAAAACTACACAGAGAAACCCTGTCTCAAAAAAACAAAAAACAAAAAAACAAACAAACAAAAAAAACTGTCACCAAAAGTGATATCATCAAAGTGACTGGCAGTTTTCAGAATTCAGAAAACCTATTAGAAAAAGACAATTGCAGCTGGAAAGTTACATAAGTCATAAAGCGTTATATTACTAGCTTCCCTTTTGATTCAGGGTCTTACACATCACACATATGTTTTTTGTTTGTTTGCTTGTTTGTTTTGTTTTGTTTGTTCTTATTTCCAAGACAGCATTTCTCTGTGTAGCCCTGACTGCCCTGGAACTCACTCTGTAGACCAGGCTGGCCTCGAACTCACAGAGATCCGTCTACCTCTGCCTCCTGAGTGATGGGATTAAAGATGTTTGTTACCATGCCCAGCTCAAACATGCAGTTCTTTAACCAAATGACAACTTTATACACTTGTATTCTGTAAGAGATTCTCCCATAAAGAGAGAGAGAGAGAGAGAGAGAGAGAGATGGAGAGATGAATGGAAATGAAGTAAAAATTTAGAGTTAAAGTATGCATCAGAAGGAATTAATAATTATTCATTTTGCAATGGATAATCTTTGTGGTTCTAACTAGTAGAGTATACTTAAACTATAGATTGGATGCTTTATTTGCTTCACCAAAACTATCTCTCTTGAAACATTGCAATTTTAGATAATGTATTTTTTTGTGTGTGTATATTATGTTTACATCATTAAATATTCTTAAAATTTTCTGAGTTCTTGCTTGAAAAAGTTGAGGAAACAAATTCTAAAACTTGTGTGCTATGTCTGTCGTTGGTAATCTAAAATATAATTTTTTTTCCAAGTTCTACTCAGTGAATGTGGACTACAGCAAACTGAAGAAAGAGGGCCCCGACTTCTAAACCATGAAGTTCACCATAAAGCTGCTTATAATGAAGGTCTTTCAGAAGCTATCCGCACAATTTTCCACTTAACCAGGAAGTACACCTCTGAATGCATGAAATCATGTTTATTTTTTGGAGTTTAGTACACTGATGAATAAATCTCTGAAACTTGATACGTGTCATTATTTAATGCTGAAATCCATGTGGGACTTTATGGCTAGGATATAGGGAATAAAATACTAAAATTGAAAGAATCTCTTGAATTATTCTGCTTTAATAAGGCTGTGTGTGTGTGTGTGTGTGTGCGCACGCGCGCGTAGGCCCACAGGTGGTAACTTCAAAATGGAAATTAAACAAAGGTTAAACAAAGGAATATTGGGGAGAATATTCAAGCCTTTGTTAAATGAATGAACTGGAGTCCATTACATGTTGGTCAACACTGCTGAACATGAGGCCCCCCTGGAGTGGTTGATATACCAAGTGTCACTCCATCGGAGAAGATCAGTTTTCCCTCTCCCAGCAGCTATAAACTACAATTAAGTTGTTATCATTTACCCTAAGTTAGGTTTTCATTCATTATCTTTAAATATAGAGAAATAAAATAGAGGATACAACAAAAACTATCATATCAAAGTTGGACAAGACAAACTAAGAGAAGGAAAAGAACCCAAGAATAGTAGGCCCACTTATTTGCACTCAGGAATTATATAAAAATACTAAACTGGAAGTCATTATATACACATGAGCGCACGTGCGCACACACAAATCTGGTACAGACCTGTGAAGGCCCTATGAATGCTGCTTTATTCTCGTGAGTTCATAAAAGCTTTGCTCATGTTGATTTAGAGGGTCTTGTTTCCTTGGTGTCCTCCATACCCTCTGGCTCTTACATTTCTCCCTCTTTCTCCAGGTTTCCTGAGCTCAGGGGAGGGATTTGATAAGAGATCCCATTTAGGGCTGGGTGTTTCCTAGTCTCTCACTTCAAAATGTCTGGCTGTGGGTCTCTGTATTTGTTCCCATCTGCTGCAGAAGCAAGCTTCTCTGATGATGGCTGAATAAGGCACTGATTTCTGAGTATAGCAGAATGTCATTAGGAGACATTTTATCAATACTTTTTTTGTTTTTTGTTTTTCAAGACAGGGTTTCTCTGTGTAGTTTTGATGCCTGTCCTGGATCTTCCTTTGTAGACCAGGCTGGCCTCGAACTCACAGAGATCCTCTTGGCTCTGCCTCCCGAGTGCTGGGATTAAAGGCATGTGCCACCATCGCCCAGTTCAATACATTTTTTTGGACCATTATTACTTGGTTTTACCTTAGGTCCCTGGACTATCTAGTTTTAGGTTCTTGGTCACCCAGTGTCAGGTATGGGTTCCATCTCATGGAGTGGGTCTTAAGTCAAATCAATTATCGATTAGTTACTTCCACAGCTTTGTGCCCCCATTGCCCTAGCACATCTTGCAAGCAGTACACTAGTGTAGATAAAGGGTTTGTGTCTGGCTTGCTGTTTGTTTCTCTTGATAGTTTGCAGTGGACCTTCCTGTACCAAAGGTGCTACAACATAAGGAAGAAGATTCTATGTAGGCACCAGCTCAACATCACATGCAATGAGTTGTGTAGGTGTTGTCTTCAGCAATGGGGCCTTGTTGTCAGTTTGTAGAGAGCAACCTATAGTCTTAGCAACAGCCTGGGTTGTTTTGGGGATTTCCGTGGGGCCTCTTTGGCCAGCAACTCAATTAGATGTAACCCAATCCCAGTACTGGGAGCTTCCTTTGGTGACAAGAGATGGCCAGTTGGGACTCTTGTCTCCCCAGTTATTTGGCGATTTCTTTTAGATCACCTTCATATGTGTGTATATTTTAGGAAATGTCTACAGTATTGGGTTTCCATATCACCCCTCAAATGGCCCTTAATTTTAGCTGTCTCTCCCTATGTTCCCTCCCACAACCCTCTTGATCTTCCCATTCCAGTTCCACTCCTTCCATTTATCTCTTATCTATTTTCCTTTCCTAACAAGATCTATCTGTACCCTCTAGTCCCTTACTCTATACCTACCCTTTGTTCTATGGATGTATAAGCAAATTCATAACCATATTCGTTTTTCTGGCTCTGGGTTTCCGACTCATTTTTTCTAGTTCCATCATTTTACCTGCAGGTTTAATGATACCATTTTTTAATAGCTAGTAATACTCTACTGTGCAAATGTACCCATTTTCTTTAACTCTTCTTCTGTTGAGGGACATTTGGGTTGTTTCCAATTTCTAGCTGTTATGAATAGAGCAGCAATGACCATGGTTGAACAAGGGTCTCTGTGTTAGGATGGAGCATCCTTTGGGTATATGCCCAAGAGTGGTAGAGCTGGCTTTGGAGATGGATTGGTTTCCATCTTCATGAGGAAATGTCACACTGATTTCCATAGTAGTTGTGTAAGTTTCACTCCCACAAGCAATGTGTGAGTGTTCCTCTTACTCCACATCCTCACCAGTATGAGCTGTCACTTGTTAATCTTAGCCAATCTGATAGATGTAAGATGAAATCTCAGTGTTGTTTTGATTTACATTTCTCTGATGGCTAAGGATGTTGAACATTTTCTTTAAGTGTTTCTCAGCCATTTGAGTTTCCTCTTTTGAGAATTCTCTATTTAGATCTGTTCCCCATTTTCAATTTGTTTACTTGATATCTAATTTTTTGAGTTCTTTATATATTTTGAATATGAGTCCTCTATTGGATATGGAATTCATAAAAATATTTTCCCACTCTGGAGGCCACTGCTTTGTCCAAATGATGGTATCCTTTGTCATACAGAAGATTTGCAGTTTCACAAGATCCCATTTATTAATAGTTGATGGGGCTGGAGAGATGGCTCAGTGGTTAAGAGCACTGTCTGCTCTTCCAGAGGTCCTGAGTTCAATTCCCAGCAACCACGTGGTGGCTCACAACCATCTGTAGTGGGAACTGATACCCTCTTCTGGAATAAAGAAGTACATGCAGATGGAGCACTCATATAGATGAAATAAATAAATAAAATCTTTAAAAAACAAAACAAAACAAAAACTGCCGGGTGGTGGTGACGCACGCCTTTAAAAAAAAAATAGTTGATGAATTTTCCTCTTAGCACTGCCTTCATTGTGTACTATAATTTTGGATATGTTGTGCATTCATTTTCATTGAATTCTAGAAAGTCTTTAATTTCTTTGTCTTGACCCAGATAAATTGATATAATAAATCATTAGAAATAAGTTCAGTAGAGAGTTATTCAATTTCCATGAGTTTATAAGCTTTTTTGTTGTTGAAATCCAACTTTAATCCATAGTGGGCAGACAGGATTCAGGGAGATATTTAATTTTCTTCTACCTGTTGAGACTTGCTTTTTGTGACCAAGTATGTGGTCAATTTTGGAGAAATGTTCCATGAGGTGCTGAGAAGAAGTTATTTTCTTTTGTGTTTGGGTGAAATGTTCTGTAGATATCTATTAGGTCCATTTGGCTTGTAACATCTGTTAGCTCCAGTATTTCTGTTTAGTTTTTGTCTGGATGACCTGTCCATTAGTGAGAATGGGGTATTGAAGTCTCCCACTATCAATGTGTGAGGGTCAGTGTATATTTTAAACTTTTGTAATGTTTCTTTTACAAACATGGATCCCCTTGCATTCTGGGCATAGATAGTGAGAATTGAAATGTCTGTCTTTATGGGTCTGGATTACCTCACTCAGGATGATTTTTTTAAATCTAGTTCCATTTATTTGCCTTCAAATTTCCTGATGCCATTGTTTTCTACAGCTGAGTAGTACTCCATTGTATGAATGTACCACATTTTCTTTAACCATTCTTCAGTTGAGGGACATCTAGGTTGTTTATAGGTTCTGGCTATTACAAATAAAGCTGCTATGAACATAGTTGAGCAAGTGTCCTTGTGGTATGATTGAGCATCCTTTGGGTATATGCCCAAGAATGGTAGAGCTGGGTCTTGAGATAGATTGAGCCCCACTTTTCTGAGAAAGCGCTATATTGATTTCCAAAGTGTCTGTACAAGTTTGCACTCCCACGAGTAGTGGAGGACTGTTCCCTTTACTCCACATCCTTTCCAGTATAAGCTGACATTAGTGGTTTTGATCTTAGGCATTCTGACTGGTGTAAGATTGGAATCTCAGTTGTTTTGATTTGCATTTCCCTGATGGCTAAGGATTTATGAGCCAAAGGGATCAAAGTCATAACAAGGGAACCCACAGAAACAACTAACCTGGGCTCATAGGACTCACAGACTCTGGACCACAGCTAGGGAGCCTGTCTGGGACCGACCTAGACCTTTTTCATATGTGTGACAGTTGTGAAGCTTGATCTACTTGTGGGACTCCTAGCAGTGGGAGCAGGGCCTGTTCCTGATGTTTTGACTGGCTTTTAGGAACCTATTCCCCGTACTGCCCAGGCTTAGTACAAGGGGAGGAGCTTAGTCCTACCTCAACTTGATATGCCATGCTTTGTTGATACCTATGAGAGGTCTGCCCCTTTCTGAACAGAAACAGGAGGAGTGGAGCGGGGGAGAGGAGAGGTGAAGAGGAGAATGGGAGAAGAGGAGGGAGGGGAAACTGCAATCAGGATGTAAAATAAATGAAAAAAAAAATTTTAAAAAATGTTGTCTTGGTGGATTTTTTCCTTTGATGAGTATGTAGTGTCTTCTGTCTCTTTTAATTTTAGTTGGAGGTATATTTTGTTAGATATTAGGATAGCTACACCAACTTGCTTCTTAGGTCTATTTACTTTGAAAACCCTTTTCCAACACTTTCCTCTGAAGTAATTTGTATCATTGATGTTGAGGTCTGTTTGTCTGTGTCTTTTTATTGGGGAGTTGAATTCATTGGTATTGAGAGATATCAATGACCAATGATTGTTAATTCCTGTTTTGTTTTGTTTTTTGTTGTTGTTATTGTTGTTGTTGGTGGTGGTGGTGATATGTGTGTGTGTGTGTGTGTGTGTGTGTGTGTGTGTGTGTGTGTGTGTATTTCCCTTCTTTTAGTTTTGCTGGTATAAGATTATTTCCTATGTTTTTGTGTATGTAGTTAACCTCCCTGTGTTGGAGTTTTCCTTTTATTACCTTCTGTGGGACTGGATTTGCAGATAGATATGCTTAAATTTAACTTTATCCATCTTGTTTTCTCCATTTGTAGTGATTGAAAGTAT